CAAATAATGATTTATTTTGTCCTGAAACCCCTAAACAAATCCGGGACGGCATTCTAACCCTATTTATTTAATCCTGAAACCCCTAAAATTCAAAATTTTGAAGTTTCGACCGTCCTGTGTCTTCCATGTACTGCAAATATGCAGAATATGCATGTAAATTGCAAAAAATCTACCCAACATTAAAAAACTACTGAAGCACATCTTTAAAACATTGAAAAATCAATGAAAAATAATGAAAAACATCGTCAGATAATGAAAAACATGACATGAAAATAATGAAAACCATCTTCAAAATAATGAAAGATCAATGAAAAATAATGAAAAACATCTTGAAAATAATGAAAACAAATAAACAGAAACATGGATTTCAAGGAAAAAAACGCGTACCGTGTGAGAAATCCGGGAGGCATTCTACTATTTATTTAGCCTTGAAACCCCTCAACATTCTAACCCTATTTATTTATTCCTGAAACCTGTAAAACTCCAAAATTTTGAATTTTCGACCATCCCGTGTCTTCCATGTACTCAAAATATGCAGAATATGCATGTAAATTGCAAAACATCTACCCAACATTAAAAAAACTAATGAAGCACATCTTTAAAACATTGGAAAATCAATGAAAAATAAAGAAAAACATCGTCAAATAATGAAAAACAAATGAAAATAATGAAAACCATCTTCAAAATAATGAAAAATTAATGAAAAATAATGGAAAGCATCTTGAAAATAATGAAAATTAATAAACATACACGTGGATTTCAAGAAAAAACCCGCGTACCGTGTGAGAAATTCGGGAGGCATTCTAACCCTATTTATTTAGTCCTGAAACCCCTGAAACTCGAAAATTTTGAAGTTTCGATCGTCCTGTGTCTTCCATGTACTGCAACTTTGCAGAATATGCATGTAAATTGCAAAAAATCTACCCAACATTAAAAAACTACTGAAGCACATCTATAAAACATTGAAAAATCAATGAAAAATAATGAAAAACATCGTCAGATAATGAAAAACATGACATGAAAATAATGAAAACCATCTTCAAAATAATGAAAGATCAATGAAAAATAATGAAAAACATCTTGAAAATAATGTAAAAAAGAAACATAAAATGACATAAACAAGGATTTCAAGAATAAACCCGCGTACCCTGTGAAATCCGGGAGGCATTCTAACCCTATTTATTTAGACCTGATACCCCTAAACAAATCCGGGACGGCATTCTAACCCTATTTATTTAATCCTGAAACCCCTAAAACTCCAAAATTTTGAAGTTTCGACCGTCCTGTGTCTTCCATGTACTGCAAATATGCAGAATATGCATGTAAATTGCAAAAAATCTACCCAACATTAAAAAACTACTGAAGCACATCTTTAAAACATTGAAAAATCAATGAAAAATAATGAAAAACATCGTCAGATAATGAAAAACATGACATGAAAATAATGAAAACCATCTTCAAAATAATGAAAGATCAATGAAAAGTAATGAAAAACATCTTGAAAATAATGAAAACAAATAAACAGAAACATGGATTTCAAGAAAAAAACGCGTACCGTGTGAGAAATCCGGGAGGCATTCTACTATTTATTTAGCCTTGAAACCCCTCAACATTCTAACCCTATTTATTTATTCCTGAAACCTGTAAAACTCCAAAATTTTGAATTTTCGACCATCCCGTGTCTTCCATGTACTCAAAATATGCAGAATATGCATGTAAATTGCAAAACATCTACCCAACATTTAAAAAACTAATGAAGCACATCTTTAAAACATTGAAAAATCAATGAAAAATAAAGAAAAACATCGTCAAATAATGAAAAACAGATGAAAATAATTGAAAACCATCTTCAAAATAATGAAAGATCAATGAAAAATAATGAAAAACATCTTGAATATAATGAAAAAAAATAAACATAAACATGGATTGCAAGAAAAAAACCGCGTACCGTGTGAGAAATCCGGGAGGCATTCTAACCCTATTTATTTAGTCCTGAAACCCCTAAACAAATCCGGGACGGCATTCTAACCCTATTTATCTAATCCTGAAAACACTAAAACTCCAAAATTTTGAATGTTCGACCGTCCCGTGTCTTCCATGCACTGCAACTTTGCAGACTACGCATGTAAATTGCAAAAAACCTACCCAACATTAAAACAAATGAAGCACATCTTTAAAACATTGAAAAATCAATGAAAAATAATCAAATTCATCGTCAAATAATGATGTATTTTGTCCTGAAACCCCTAAACAAATCCGGGACGGCATTCTAACCCTATTTATTTACAGTAATCCTGAAACCCCTAAAACTCCAAAATTTTGAAGTTTCGACCGTCCTGTGTCTTCCATGTACTGAAAATATGCAGAATATGCATGTAAATTGCAAAAAATCTACCCAACATTAAAAAACTACTGAAGCACATCTACAAAACATTGAAAAATCAATGAGAAATAATGAAAAACATCGTCAAATAATGAAAAATAAATGAAAATAATGAAAACCATCTTCAAAATAATGAAAGATCAATGAAAATAATGGAAAACATCTTGGATTGAATGAAGTATTAATAGACATAAACATGGATTTCAAGAAAAAGCCCGCGTACCGTGTGAGAAATCCGGGAGGCATTCTACTATTTATTTAGTCCCGAAACCCCTAAACATTCTAAACCTATTTATATATTTATTCCTGAAACCTTTAAAACTCCAAAATTTTGAATTTTCGACCGTCCCGCGTTTTCCATGTACTGCAATTTCGCAGAATATGCATGTAAATTGCAAAAAATCTACCCAACATTAAAAAACTAATGAAGCACATCTTTAAAACATTGAAAAATCAATGAAAAATAAAGAAAAACATCGTCAAATATTGAAAACAAATGAAAATAATGAAACCCATCTTCAAAATAATGAAAGATCAATGAAAAATAATGAAAAACATCTTGAACATAATGAAAAAATAATAAACATAAACATGGATTTCAAGAAAAAAAACGCCTACCGTGTGAGAAATCCGGGAGGCATTCTACTATTTATTTAGTCCTGAAACCCCTAAACAAATCCGGGACGGCATTCTAACCCTATTTATTTAGTCCTGAAACCCCTAAAACTCGAAAATTTTGAATTTTCGACCGTCCTGTGTCTTCCATGTACTGCAACTTTGCAGAATATGCATGTAAATTGCAAAAAAATCTACCCAACATTCAAAAAAATAATGAAGCATATCTTTAAAACATTGAAAAATCAATGAAAAATAATGAAAAACATCGTCAGATAATGAAAAACATGACATGAAAATAATGAAAATAATGAAACATATTGGTCCAGAAGTCAAGCGCGAACCGGGGCGCATTCTAATTCCCAGTTAGAATGCGTGCGTTTTACCCCGTTGTATTCCAAAATTTACCGCTCTATAGGTTTCCAAACGCGCATTCTAACTTCCAGTCCGGCGGTATAGGAATATATTGCCCATAGTATGCGCATTTCACCACTTGAAGATTGGGGATAAACTCAAAAATCTGAATATGGCGAACGCAAATGGGCTACAAACAATACCTACTGAACCATGTATTCAATGTATTCGGTTGAAACATGTTGACACATTGACTCGCAAAAACGGGTTTGAACATGGAACCTCAAAGTTGTCAATGGTGCCATTTGATTTCAGGGAAAAAAAGAGGAAAACAACATGAACATTCTCGAGAAACAGAAGGTCAATGATTACTTTGTATGGAGTTGTCCCGTTTATTTCCTATCATGTAGCCTGGTACGCCTTATTCCAAGAACAGGCTTTCAACAGCAGCCGGGCATGCTGATCCAGGCTCAGCGTGGTACATCTTACTGAGCTCCCGTGTGCGATGATATTTCATGGTGCATACAGATCTCGTACAGCGTTCTTTTTATGATTAATTAGCTGTAGCTTATCCCCGAACATTCACTCCTGTCACAGGATAGTGACTGATTTATGGCGCAATCGCAATTCAGAAATTCACGGCTAAGAAGTGGAAATACTTCTATGAGTGGCGGACAAAATTACTTACTACCCGCAATGGACATGGCCAAAGTGGGTCCCCTATCGGTTGTGAATACTTACGCACAAATTTGAACATCCCATGTCCACTCCCCACTACTTTAGTTTTCCGCTAATTTTGTCGGTTACTCATATATTTAGGTCTGTCTGAACATGATTTTTTTGCGCCATGCAATTGCCATTTAATGGGGACCATGATGATTAAGTACTGGATTTAGGAGTACCCGATTTTCAGATAAACATCAACCCATGTATGACATGCTTGAACCATTCTGAACACTTCACACACCTTTCGTCACAACTTCCGTCACAGCATTGCCAGTGGAGCTACCATAAGTCACCAGTTGTGCTGGTTGATTTTTCTAGGGAGCTCTAAAGATCCAGCGATAAATGCCCGACATACTGACATACGCTGTAATGTTGCCCCAGCATCGCTAGTGAGAGGATCTCGCCTGGAACCACCCAAAGCACACTGGGGGTTTTGTCCCAACTACCGGCACTTCCGGTCAAAAACAAACAATTCGACCTTCAAAGCATTCGACCTTCGAACCAACAAACATATGATGTGTTCCCCAGTTGTGGCCCTTTACCAGTTGCAAGTCAGTTTTTCATCACCCCAGTTTTGGAATGGAAATTTCATTTATCACCATAGAAATAACTGGTAAACCGCCACCTGATACCCTTTGGCAATTTAACATAGCTATTGAAGATTGTCATGTAGTTCGTTGGTTTACCTATCAACAATGGAGATTTTCCAGTTCGCAAACTGTTAGTTTGCCAAAAGGTAAACCTCCGTTTTGTTGGTATTACAATGGTGACTATATACCCAGATGTTGACTTCAATGGGAATTTTCCAGTTCGCTATTAGTATACGCAATAGTTAATAACAATTGCTACTATAGTATACCCCATAGCTATTGGAAAATACCCCATCTATGAGTTTTCCAATATATATATATATAAATAGAGTTCAAGTGGTATTTTCCAATAGTAAATTCATCGCCCCAGCATCACCTGGAGTTTTCTTCGCTCCCAGGGGCAATTCCAAGGCAATGCCTTTGGGCTGCAACAAGTTGGGCGAGATCCAAGGCCTCTTCCGGCGGAAGTCATTGAAGGCCTGGCCAGTGGGGAAGATGGGGAAAAAAACACATATAATGTTGGACAAACACAAGAATAATATAAAATAATATAAAATAATATACCATAATGCCATTATAAAGTTGTTTTTTCCCAACATTATAGGAATATTATTATAATTAGTATTAGTAGTAAACCCATGGAGCAATGGAAAAACAATTGTAAACCACCCATTTGGGAATGGTTTATACCACCTGTAAAAATGGTGATGACTGGGGGTTTATGAAATTGTTTTACGCACATTATTAGTAAACTCAATAATAGTATTATTGGGGTGACGTATTATTGAAGTTGTGATGTGAGAAACCCAAGAATGAACCAATAATAGAAATAATGGTATAATTACCCTCCCGTAAACTAACATAGATGTGGAAACCCCAGCATTTGCAGGTCATTTTCCGAACGCGTTACCCTAGGGTCACATGAGAAATCCAATCATAAACCTACCATGTGCGGATGGTTTATATGACCCAGAGAAACGGTTTTACACCATTGGGTTTACTTAACTGAGTAATGTGGTTCAACCGACTTAGCAAGTGGATTAGAACCCCCTTAACAAGCTATATATATGTAGGGCAAGTAAGAATTGTCCAGTTCAAATGGGGTTATACATATATATATATACATAAAGTATTATAACTCTTATAACCCAGTCGCTAAGGTCACTAAGTGGGGAGAACCACGAAGAAAAAATTCAATGCTTGGCCCTCTGCGATCCATGGCCCATGTCACCATATTTGGGGGAAAACATATAGCCAATATAGCCATAAACCAGCTATGACCTACAGTAGGGTACCATCTGGGTAGGGTTCTCACTCATAGCCATCCAGTTATTACAGTTACGGCCAGTAATTAGTTAAAACTGGTTATTTCTATGGGATTATACCTTCCATAAATGCGATTATTGGATATTAGCTGTTATAAGTACTTGTAACTGGTCCCCATAACTGTATCTATTCCAACCTCTCAAAGATTGGCCCATAATTTACCACCCAGCGTGTCTAGGGGACGCTCAACGGCCAGGGCTGCCTCGAAGAGAAACGATTCAATGTCACTGGGACAACGGCCAGGGCTGCCTGTCACTGTGCTGATCCAACTTCTCCGTTGGGAGATGGCTATAGAATACTATAGAATAGAAATACCATAGACATGTTTCCTCTATAGATGGTAAACAAAAAAGAACATAAAATAGTGGTATGTTTCCCATTTCTATATTTCTAGAAAATGGTTCTTAGTTTTTGTTTTAGAAATACCATAGAAATGGGAAACAATCAAAATTGTTTATTGATGGCTATAGATTATAGAATATGTTTTCTCTAAAATGGGGATTGAACCAACACTGGGCGTTGAAATATCAAAGATGCGGATTATTGAAGCTATCTGGCATCAAAGATGTTGTAACAATCAATCATGGACATTTAACAATCAAACATAGGAAGCTCACCAAGAAAAATGGATATACATATATATATATATATACATATTTTGTATATATATATTGTGATATACATGTATATATATATATATATATAGATGATATAAATATATATATATATATTATGATCTATCTATCTATCTATCTATCTATCTAACCTATCTATCTACCTATTTATATATGTAAATATTATGATATATAATTAAAAATATATATATATATATACTACTATATTTACATATGTATATATATATATATACATATGTGTAATATTATGTATTTTTTCATATATAATATTTTATAATGATCAACCAACATGGGCATTGTAGAGGCGATCCGACGCTCTGACGCTAAAGCCCGTGATTCACGAAAGTTGAACTATCACAGGGCTGACAGAACAACTGTGATATCCAAATGATGTTTTTGATAGGGAAAACAACCTAGAAATGTTGGATTTATAACTAGAAATAACTAGAAATGTTGGATTTATAACTACTGGTTGGTGGTTTTTCCCAACCCCTCTGAACAATGTGAGTGAAAGTCAGTTGAGATGATTTTCCATTCCCAACTGAATAGAACTTTATATCAGTCATGTTCCAAAACACCAACTTTTGATGGTTTAATACCATATGTGGGGCATAATCCAATCTTTATGTTTCTTCTTTCATGGTTTTCCGTTTCAATTCCTGATGGTGGATTTTCCTTTTAGTGCCTCCATCTTCGAAACGGTTTCTCTTGTTTAACACAACATTTGTCAGTTGGAAAATCATCATAGTCCTATATACCAATAAATAAAAATAGATAGAGTTGAAGATAAGAAACAACCACATGAAACCACCAAACAGATATACACATCCTGATTAAAAAGAAAAATAGGAGTTGCCTTCACCAGTATCTCATTCGCATTCGCAGCATTCGCAGCATTCCGTGCCTCCAGGGCTCTCTAGCACAGCACCTGATTTCTTCAAACATCTCAGACCGGTGGCTGGAAATGTAGCACCAACAAGAACCGCAACCAGGGAAGTTGGGACCGCAAACAAACCTCCAACAAGAAGTTCCCTATTTTCATGGAGTTTTTTTTTCAGAAACTCTGATGGATTTTCCAGCCATTGATGACACCGGAGGGTACAGCTAAACCTCCAATTTTGCCAGGAAAAATTAGGTGTCCTATGGTCCCAACGGTGAACCCTGGAGAATTTGCTGCAGGGTCTCCGTCAAATGTACCAATCCCTTCAAATTTGAACCAGCATATGGCAGAAATTCATCGATCCATGCTCCAATCCTGACAAACCATTTGTATTTATGGCAGAGGAAAAAGTATCAATGATTGGAACACATAACCAGGCGCTGAACAAAAATGAGAGAATGCGTTTCATATCCTTAAGCGTTGCCATTGCGACCCTCGTGTTTCCGTGCGTGACGTCAAACTCATACTACCTGGAATGCAATGACTTAAACATTCAGGCGTTCAGAGGCTGTTACCTCACATTTCCTGGTTTGAAAGTTTGAAGAAAACAATTTCCACACAAAGATGTTTTGGACATGCTTCTGGAGCATACCCCAAGTTCCTCCAATACTTCAAATGACAGAGGCTATTTGAAACGGCATGTGGTAGGATGTCGCAGGGGTCTGATTTATCTACTTCAGATTCAGGTTTCTGATTTCTGATGAATGTGAACCCTAAATCTGATGGATGAGAAATATACCCATTTCATGGTGAGTTAAATTAGTTAAATTGCTTCGTTAACATTTTTCAACTTTCGACTTGGAGGATGACCTTAAACTTAATAACCTTTGCAGTTTGTGCGGTTATTACTATCAGGATATCTTATGATATCTTAGCTGTTGATGAATCCCATACCGCCAAAGGCCCTAATATGAAAAACACCCAGAGACCATGGGGATGAAGAAAAACATCTTTGGGACCATTGAGGGGTGTTTCATGTTACTGTATTAGGATGGGGTTATGAGGGTGTGTTCAATATTAGGGATTATTAGGGAGCGTTTAATAACCCCTATTTTGAGTATAGTTATTTCATTGCCATAAATCTCAGTGAAATTAAAGTATATCGGAGAGAACTCTTCGCCAACTTAGCTAACATAAATCAACTATAAATCCCCTATTGTGTGTTGGTGATCGTGTTATCCAAATTTTAGGGGACTTATAGTAACTCCTGGGTGAACATTAGTCAACACTAAATCAACTATAAATCATTTCGTCTATCCCTAGTTGGTTATATATGCGTTCAGTATTCAACTGACTTAGTAATCCGTTTAGCTATCATAAATCAAATATAAATCAACTATAAATCAACTATAAATCAACTACAAATCAACTGTAAATCCCCAATTCATTGCTGGTCATCCACATTTTTATATTTTAGGGGACTTAGTAACCCAGTTGGCTATATCATGCTATATCATGTTCAGTAATCCTATTTTGGTAATCTTAGTAATCTGACTTAGTAATCTTAGAATAACCAGATATAGTTAGTGAACATTAGGGTTACTGACTTACTAATCTTAGCTTTTACTTACTAATCTGATAGTTGGTTATAGTATAACCCTAAGTTATAGCTGGTTAAAGTTGGGGTAGATGGTTATAGTAATCTTATAGTTGGTTGGTAGTTGGTTATAGTAACCCTAAGTTGGGGTAGACATTCCCCGTTGATAACTCGGTCACCAGCTCGCCACGGCACGCCGCAAGGCTTCCGAGAGGTCGCAGATACCTTCGGCTGCAGCCAGCACCACCAAGGGCCAGTCCTCCTGGGGATCAGTCATCCCCACGGCCATGGCAGGGGAAGATATGGGACATACCCTCATAGCTATGGAAAATCACGATGTTTAATGGGTAAATTCACGATTTCAACTGGGTCATTTTCCAGTTCGCAAACTGTAAACGTTTACCAGAGGGTATCGGGAAACTATGGGACATATGGGGTAGATTGGGGAAGATATTAGGGTGATGATGGTGATGATTTGGATTTTTGCTGATCCGCCAAGGATAGGACACGATTCCCAGGTGGATTTTCCGCAGGAAAATCCACCTGACATCACCAAAATGCAAACGCCTCAGAGGAGCACCCACAAATGAGGAAACTTCATGGATACCCTCTGGTAATTTAACATAGCTATGGAAAATCACCATTTTTAATGGGAAAATCCACTATAAATGGCCATTTTCGATAGCTATGTTAGTTTACCAGAGGATATATATAACTCATTTGATCCAACTATAAATCCCTGTTTTTGTTGGACATAATTGATCCAACTGTACTGAGGGTAGGGCTTTCATCCCAGTTCTTGATACTTTTTCAGCACATCTGATGGTTCAATCCCCATGTCTTTTGTAATGGTCAAATCCATGTTCATCCATTTATCATGACATGTCAAATCCCGACTTTTGAGGCTCACATTCCCATTCTTGTTGGGGGTTAAAGTCGATGGAATGGTTTTCAGGAAAAAAATGCAGGAAACCCTATATCTCACGTAAAAAAAACATGGTTTCCTGTAGATGTCCCCTTAAACCCATAAAGAGAAGTTGCTTCCCCTGCGACACGTGTCCTCCGATAAGGAGAACTTCTGCAGAAAGATCGCAGCTTCCAAGACGAAGAGCGTGCCGTCGTCCAGCGGAATGCTGGGGGTCGCCTGCAGCGCCGGGTTATCCGCCTGGGTTCCCCAAAAAAGATGGGGAAAAGTTGGACACCTGGATGGGTGAAAACCGTCAGCTCTGGCTATAGCATCCTGGAAATACAGTTGCTATTTCATGGAAAATCTACAGGGAAACCGCTGGATTGTACCCACAAGTACAGGGTTTTCCTCTAAGTTTTGGCTTAAACCAAGTCTAAAGGCCTGCTTGGTCAACCGTCCATTTTCCAAAAAAAAAATGCAAATCCAATTTGTCAATGATTCCAAACCCATATGCTCCATGTATGGTATATTTACCTACATTTGGGTTATTTTTGGGGCAAATGTTGGTAAATATTCCATATATGGAGCATATGGGAAATGAGATGAACAATGCGAGCAATCGAAGCTATAATTTCAACCACCAGGAATCACTGGATCGGTGGATCTGAAACATGTCCAGTCAGATTCCAAAGAGGCTGCAGCCAATCTGATGATCGGGAACATCCACATTGATGTTGGTAGGTGAGATGCATTTTTAAGGATTGGTTCCAACATGTTCTAACTAGATGCATTTTCCAATGGATTTCGAAGTTTGACATGACACAATGAGAAAAATCGGGGAAGGTCAACTCATCATATGGTCACTGCCCCTGAAGACATGCAAGACCTTCAAAACATTCCTTCCTGTACCCTTGAAAGTATGTGTTTGAACACATAGCATGTGAAGGAACTACATGGATATGGAGGTTTCCTAAGTCATGGGGATACCCGTAGTTATCATCCATTTATACATGGATTTTCCATGAAATAACCATCCAGCTATTGGGATCCACCATTTATGGAAATCCCCATATAATCCTGTATGTTTGGGTGCGTTTGGGTGCAAATTGAAGCTCTACCCCAAGTGTTTGACCGTGCCGAGCAGCCACTGTGACTGCCTCTGCTGTCAACTCTGCATTTTCCTCTGGGGGGGTGATGGCATAGTGATTCAACGGACTCAATGGGGTGTCATAATTCCCACAAGTTATGTCAAATTTGTGTGCATTTTCCGGAGGAACTCAGTATGAATTTCTGAATTACCTTTCTTCGGGTCCCATCTATACATCACTCTAAGGGCGGGGTTCTCTTTGTTTTTTCTTAGGCATCATTGTCGTTTATCACTGTGTTAGGTGTTTATATCCTAATCAAGTCGGCTACATCCCCGTTTTATCATGTTTGAATTCCATGTGTTTATCCTAGCAAAGGCCCCCGGTTTTTTAAAGTTATAACGTATTTTTCAGAAAAAACAGTGAATGCCAACCATAACAATAGCTGATGAATTAAATTCAGGGTGTTCCCAAACACAAGTAAGCAATCTCAGAAACTCAAGGTTCACGAAGAAGACATTAACAATTTTGGGAAGGTCCCATCGATTACCACACGTTTGTACAACAATGATGTATGGCGAATTTGGGAGTATCAGTATCGCCTAGAGAGGAAACTTACTGTCTGTGCAGAAACGAATGACGGAACCTTCAAAGGTGGTTTGCACAATTTCTAAAAAACAATCTTACTAAAGGGGGTACCATCTTCACAAATGACCATGACTAATTTTGATGGATAAACACCACTTGGCATCCGCTAAATCAATATGTTCTAAAAACAATTAAAAACATATGTGGTTAAGAGTTAAGATATTGAGCCATATCTAAGCTACTTTACGTCCATTATATGGATATGTTGAGCAGCACATGTGTTATACTCTCTGGTAATTTAACACAGCTATGAACAATTATCCATGTGCAAATGTTTTGCTGATTTTTACGCCAGGAAAATCTATGGCCATGTCGAATTACACACGTCTGCGAAGGCACTGGCTCTTGGACATAGCTTTCCAAGGCAGCCACATATGCCTGGCGCCGGGACGGAACCTGCAGTGAATTCACCAGTGAGGAGCTTGCTTGGTGACCTCCTTTAGGAGCTGATGGAATCCAAAGTCTGGGTCTGAAAAACCCTAAGCCTATCTGAACTTTTCTGGCACTGGATGATTTTAGAGGGCGCTGAAAAAAAACAATATTTTTCAGTTGTTCCAACATGTTCCATTTGATCACGGGGATTCCAACCGAATCTGGGGATTCCAAGCATTCCGCCCCCAGCATCGCAGCACTCCCCCCAGCACTGTGCTGGTTCCATCCCCATGTGACCGTCGCTTTGTACCACCAGATCTTCACCGCTGGTTGATGTTGACCCAACTGCAATCATATTCGGCATGAACCCCCAAAAAATTGGAGTTCTACCACCCACCAAAAATCGAATCCCCCATATGTATGGTGCTTACTTTCCAAAATTCCAATTAGTCAAAATCCTTTCAGTTGACCATGGAAATCCACAACCATGTTGCTGAAATTCCCATGTGTTTCATAATTTTGTCATGGTAGAAATGGTTGAAATCCGCCATTTGTCGGCGAAACTCCCATCCGTTTCCACGCCTTCACCTGCCGCCTCCAGAAGCGCCGTGCGCCCAGCGAACACTGCGCCGCAGAGATCCTCCGTGGCGGACGTTTGAGGCCATAAAATAAGCAACATAGGATCCACCATCCCCAATGTTTACTATAAATTGGATAATCCATGATACACCATCAATCCATGTGGGTGGTTTACATTGTTGCTTTACTAAGATTATGTCAAATATGAATAGCCACTTTTCTGGGTAAATATCCTCAATATATCCTCATTATGTCCCCGTTGTTGTTGGTTATAAACTCTAATATATCTGGGTAAACAATAATATGTCACTAACCTGAAAAGTTTGGGATACTTATCCCTACTAACCATCATTCCAGTGAGGTCGCGGTGAGGTCAGTTTCATTTACCCGGACTGGGAATAAAATAGCGTTCATACCAGTAGTAGTTTTGTGTGGTCACTATTGGCTTTCACAGGAATAGTAGTATTATGATTAAATTAATATATAGTACTCATACTACCATTACGCTTACACCAAAAAAAACATGATGATCATAAGAGTGTACGTGTATATATATATAATATAATTATTATATGGCGTGAACAGCCATAAAATGGCCGTTTAAAAACGGAGATAAACCAAAGGATTGAGGCATGGTACATTGGGTGGACTGATTCAGAAAGTTAATGTGTAATTGACAATAATTCACTTGATACTGGGTACAATTATTTTTGCAGCGATGGGATATCCACATGTAACCACAACTCGGGATGCAGTCCAAATCGAACTCAGTGGGTGATCCCAGTATATTCAAGATACGTCTTACAGTAGTTCTAGTCCTTCCAATATGGGGAAACAGATGCCAAGTTCACTTCTCAACATGTCGTGGACGCCAAAAGCAGCAGCTTCCAATTTTGATCTTTCGTTTCCGATTCTGATCCTTTCGCCAAGGGCCAACAAAAGACACTCCTTTGGAGCTATTTGGACTCCTTTGGAGCTATTTGTACATCCCAATCATTGGGCGTTCCCTGCTGAAGCATGAATTAGGGAATATTAGGGATGTTGAGTATCCCGCTTTTCACCTGTGACTTTCCTGATATGTGCAAGCACTTCCTCAACACTGGCCTTTCTGTTTTCCTCATCAACTGTCGACAATAACTTTCCGGCAGGTAGGAGCACTCGAAGGCGGTACAGGCTCACCTTCAATTCATGCGCAATGATTTTCAGAAAAGTGAAGAGATTGTCAGATCTTCTGACCTTGAATCGGAAGACTTCTTGCCCAGCCAACCCTTTGGTGCACTTCAGAATGACGGCAAACTTCTCCACCAATTCCTCGGAGTGGAGTTCTGTGTGGTCTGTTCTCATGTGGAAAATCACCACGGGGAAACGTGAAGACAAACTCAGCACATGTTTTCCCAGTGGTTAATGTTCGTGAAATATGTTTGCTAAGTCAATGATGCTAGTATATATATATATATAATATTTATGTACATATGTATCCTAATGATCCTAATGATCCTATATTATATCTGTTTGCTCAGTCATGGTGGCATAAAAAAAACACATCAAAAAATCGCCGATGTCTAACTCCAGGATTCGAAATCATCGTGTACCTCCACAATGACGTCTCCTGTCAATCTTGAATCGCACCTTGGATTTGCTGAAGTCCCCCCAAAAAAATCACAAATCTCCCCTATGGATTCACCATTTCCGGTGTATCATGCGGAAAGGCGCAACATTTTGCCATTCAAAAAACCGAGTCATACATATAACGGGGTAATTAAATCATATAATATTTCACTAACCTGAATCTTGGCCATTTGGGGATGAGTTCCCTAAAATAAACCATGATTCCAGGGTTCGGTCGCGATGTGAGGTCGTGATGAAATTTACCAAGATGATGATATATGTTCCCATGATCTTCTCAGGATTTCCCCTATGAAAACCTCCATTCAAAGTGATCAAACCGCCCGTTAGAAACAACATATGGCCATGGCACACAGTTATAAGTGGTTATTTCAATGGGATGAAAAACATGCTATAAATGGGGTGACTTGGTAATACTTATAACTGATAGCCATGGCCATTTTTCTGCACAAAATTATGGCCATGGCAGCCATGGCACACATAATGTTTCCCGGCCTCTGGAGGAGGAATCTCGCACTGTCCATAGCTATTGTCACCACAGGTCACCACTAGGCCATCACTACGAAGAAGCACGGAATGATAATCACCTGCAGACACCTGGAAGTTGATCGTTACAGTGAAGCTAGTGTGATATGTAAAAAAAATGCGGTTCATAGCTTCACAGGGATATGGAATTCAAGCAAGAAAAATGAAGATTTTGAATTTAGGCATTGAACATAACATAATACTGGGATGTCGATGTTCGTCGTCCATGTAGAAATGCGGATGCCATCCATTTGACAACTTGTTGTACATCTTGGCAGCACAGGTCCGACGATGTCCCTGACCTCAGAGTATGACAGTCCGGATCCTTCTTCCAAGGGTGGAACTTTGCATTGGCCACAAAGATTACCTTAGAGTTGCGATCCAGGAACCCGATCAGGAATCTCCCAAAACATGACCCAAGCATATTCCAAGCTTCGCCATGTCCCTTAAATGGTGGATATCCATAATAGTATATCCAATTTCGAAAATACCCACAAACCCATAGATATACGAGGGTTTCCATAAACAGTGGTATCCAAAATGGATGGTTTATAGAGAAAATCCTACTCGAAGGAAGTTTAGAAGTGAAACTTCCGACAATATGGACAGTTGAAAAGCAGAGGTGAGAAGAGTCAGAAGAGACAAGATCAGAAGAAAGAAGATGCAGATGCGCGAAAAGATAGGAAAGTCGCGATTCACTGTGTTTTTCCAATGATTTGTGGCTCCGGAGGGTCGAAAAGTAGGCTCGCTAAAGCGGCGGGTGCGGAGCCAGCTGGCCAGATGAGACATGAAAAAGTGCACGCCGTTGTGGTGCGAAGCACATTTCCAAGTCAAAATGGACAAAACACTAGAGGATCGGACCACTTTTGGACGTTGCGATGTTGAAAAAGTGCACGCCGTTGTGGCGCGAAGCACATTTGGAAGTCAAAATGTACAAAACACACCAATGTCGGACCACTTTTGGAAGTTGAGATGTCGAAAAAGTGCACGCCGTTGTGGCGCGAAGCACATTTCCAAGTCAAAAGTGTTAAAAAATGACGGTCTCGGACCACTTTTGGAGGTTCAGATGTCGAAAAAGTGTCGAAAAAGTGCACGCCGTTGTGGCGCGAAGCACAGTTCGAAGTCAAAAGTGTAAAAAACTGGGGGTTTTGAGCCTTTTTCGACGTGAAGATGTCGAAAACGTAGACACTGATTAATAACTTAACTAACTTGACTAATTTAACTACCTTCACGAACTTAACTACCCTAACTTCGACGACAACAGCAACAGCAACAGCAACAGCAACAGCAACAACAACAACAACAACAATAACAACACCAACCACAACAACTACAACTACAACAACTACAACTACAACAACTACACAACAACTACAACTACAACTAGAACTACAACAACAACAACTACAACAACAACAACAGCAACAACAACAACTACTACAACTACAACAACAACAACTACTACTACTACTACTACAACCACACAACAACTACAGCTACAACAACAACAACAACAGCAGCAACAACAACAACAACAACTACAACTACAACTACAACTACAACAACTACCACTACCACTACCACTACAAAACAACTACAGCTACAACTATATGACTGCAACTACACTACACTAATTACATTACACCACAACTACAACTCCACTACGCTACCACTACAACTACAGTTGCAGTACATCACACTACATCCAGCAGTTGTGGGTGAGGTGACTACTGCAACCATTGCAACCACTCCAGCAAACACAACTCCAACCACCTTTCGGTCAATCAGTGGATTCGCTCTGCCATCCGTGATTCACAACAACCAACGTCTCCTATAGGTTTCCTATTCTGAAACTTCCGCCACCGCCTTGTGCGGTACTACTGGTAAAATTGATGATTTAGGGGTATATACCCCCATTTACCCATAGGATCCATGTATGGTATATATGCCAACATTTGGGGTATATGGATGGTAAATGTTACCATATATAGCATACATGGATCCTATGGGTTATGGAAAACCCCATATGGACATTTACTTGAAAATATCAGAAGTATCGATGCAAATCCAGGTAACTGCCACAAGCATCAACTTGGCCATCACTTCTCAGCAGCAGTGCATGATGCCCACCTGATGAAACCTGGTGGGGGGAAGCCAGTGGGCACGATGATCTGTGGGTACCGAAAAAAAAGAGGAGCCTATCTTTAATATATTTCTGGGGTATAATTCGGAGATATTACCTATATTTCTAAAAAAATCTGGGGTATAATTAGGAGATATTATTATTATTACCTGATTGTATAGGAATTTTCATGGCAGACTGAGCTTTGAAACATTTTGAATTCACTATAACAATCAATTCGTTGGGTGCCTTATTTTCCCACACCCGCAGATGAAAGAACCAAGCAGCCTGGGTGTATGAGACTCCATCCTCCAAAGGTGGAAAGCGACTAAAGCGACACTGATAACAATCAGCACATCCACCAACTGCAAGTGCCTCCGCGGTGCCATTGTTGTGGAGGATCACCATATGATGCCCACCCGCAGAGATGGCTTTGCAAGACATTCGCTTAGTATGTATTTCCTCTAAGAGCCCAGTGAGACCCAACCGATCTCCACAGACCGTCACCCTTCCATCGCTCGCGAGAAGCATCGTGTAATGGGGGCCCGCCGAAATGTCTACATAGGACGAGCCGGCCTCGGGAGCCGGAATGTGATAATTTCCAATGTGATAATTTCCAAATGCTCCAAATTCAAATGTCCACCTCGTCTCTCCAACGGCCAGAGCACGGCCATCACTTCGCAGAAGCACCGTGTGACACTCACCAGCCGACACCTGGGTGTATGAAATCCCCTCCTCTAGGGGCGGAATGTTGCATTGTCCGGCAAAGTTACTTCCACAAGCAACAGCACGGCCGTCACTTCGGAGCAAAACTGTATGACCCCTGCCTGCAGAAACCTGGGTGTATGACAATCCTTCTTCCAAGGCTGGAATGTCGCATTGTCCAAAGCTATTAGTTCCGCAAGCAATCGCGCTGCCATCACTTTGGAGGAGCACTGTGTGGCACCTGCCTGCAGAAACCATGGCAGTCTAGAGACGCTGTTGATGTCTCTTGGGAAAACGTGTGGTTCCAATATCACCACACCGTTGGAAAACAGGTGGTACAGCTTCAATACTGTCTAGTTTTCTCCTCTTTACTGCACTTTTTTCTACTGCAATAATTGTTGATTTTATCATCGACTCGCAATTTCCATTGGTCTAGATTCCTTTTGCAGCATCTTCGACCCATCTGTTGTGTATGTTTCTGATCCAATCAACCCATAGTTTGCAGCCGCAAATCCAGGCGCAAGGCTTGAGCGGCTTGATATGTCCAGCAGCCGCTGTTTAAGAACTGGCCTGTATAGATCATCACTTCATCAATTTAGCCATGTCTCAATGGATATCTGTTTCAACAAAATCCTCAGTTTTTTTCAATCAGGAATCATCTTGTGTTCTCCAAATTGTCCCTTCAAACAGTTCTGGGAATGTTGAACGTTGCGGTCGCCATCAGTGCATTTTGTTGATCTCCGGGCAACTACGAGTAGCTTCATGTTCGCTTTTAGCGAGCCCATATGCTGGATGGTGCTGGAATGGTTACTTACATTTGGGTCAATGTGTGGGTAAATGTTTGGGTTTAGATGTTTATACATTTTCCAGCACCATGGAGCATTGGGGTAGGACCTAAGTCTTTAGTTTGTATCTAGTTCAGGTATTCTCCAGAGATTTGCATCAGATTTTCCCAGACATGGATACGGCCAACATGAATCAAAGCCTAAATCGGGGACGATTTCCCACTATGGCAGGGCGATTTGAACAACAACAACAACAGCTTGTGGCAACCCAACACCTCACTGGCGACCCCTTTGACCTGTGATTGTTGGAATGCACAAGCTCCAGAGCTGTATTCAAGTGCACCGAGAGGTGCACCGATATGAGAGAGGAGAACCTATGATTGAGATTGGGACCCTTGAAAATTAAGACTTGGAAAAATATGTTCCTCTTGGAACTTGCCATTTTGACCATTTTGATGGACAGTTTCGCGTCCCACTTAACCTAGAAAGCAACATAAACTATAAACCATCCAAAAGCTATCACAAATCCAATATCAATCCCAACAAAAATCAATAGTTCAAAAGGAGTGAAATAATCCCTGCTGGTTTTTCAAGGCCAAGCTTCAAATCATCCAGTTGCTGTTCACCATCCCGTGCTCCACGGGAACTTTCTAGCACACTGAGTACCTGCGCCATGGACAGACCTCAGGGCAGATGTCGCGGAAAATCCCTTGCCCAACAACAACTTGGACATCCCAAAGAAGTTACTCTCTGGTAAACAGTTTGCTATGGAAAATGGCCAATTCTAGTTGATCTACCTATATAAAAGAGTGATTTTCCCGTAGCTATGTAAACATTTACCGGAGGGAACCAACAGATCACCTTGAAATGGGCGAAGCCCAGAATGATTCGACTGGGTCAAGTACTAAAGCCTCGGTTTCTGTTGACTCTAAGTATTCCCCGAAGCTCGATACATATATATATAATATAATACTTATACAGAAATCAATGGGCGTTTCTTGAAATGTAGGATCCCCAGAACCATAGGTTTCAATACTAAAATGGTCTAAGTTTGGATGATTTGGGTACCCTGATTCTGGGAAACCTCCATATATCCACATATGGTTCCAGTAGTTGGAAGGCCGTGCTGAGGCAACTTTGGGCAGGTTGTTTTCCAAGTTGGGGCTCAATTTCTCGGAGCCATAGCCACAGATCATGTTATCAAAACATCCGGGCTTTGGGCAATGGTCAATAGTCCATGATGTGCTAAACGTGGGACATATGATTTAAACATATTTAAAATACACATCAACATACATCAACAAACATTGTATGATGTGCTAAACCCAATGCCATAGAATATCCCATTCAGCAACCGTGACTGGGGGTTATAAACAAAACATGATCCCAGCCATAAGCCTGGAACTTGGGGATGGTTGATGGCATTCGTGGCATTGATGGCATTGTCTTTACCACATGATTTCCCACTAGAATCACGAAAATCCCAGGATATGTCCATTATTTCATATCATAATGATATGTCCCACTATAATCACTGCTTACCATATATTCCATATTTTTTTTGAGGAAAGCCATGAATCATTTTCGCCTCATCCAGGCTCCCAATGGGATCAGACCTGTGCCCGGCTCGCAGCCAAGAAGCGAAATTGCGACTTCAATGGATCCGGCTCGCTGCGCTGCAGTTCCGAGAAGGTGCGCTCTGTCCAGTGTTTGTAGTTCCTAGCGACTCATGTCTGTCATTCCAATGGATCCAAATGGGTGTAGTGAAGTACCCTTTGGTCCATCAAACGTGGCAATGGAAAATCCTCTATGAATGGAGGTTTATCTTAATGGGAAATGCATCTATAAATATGGGAATTCTGATTGCTATGTTTGACGACACCGGAGGGTAAACGCTTCATGCTCTTTTTGCCAATATTGACCCATGCCCATTTTGCATCCAAAGGTTCAATCCCCAGAAACTATAATCAAAATTCGACCTAACAGACCATAATAAGGCTTGAACGCAGCGTTTCCTGAAAAACACCTGGACCATGTCGTATGTGGAATTCAACCTTTCAGAGGAAATCAAGCACACTCTGGTTGGCACACCATGCCTGTGGTTCATCCAGTTGGACATTTCCATGCAACTGCCATCATATATCTGGATAGATTTCTACAAATTACCGGAATGAATTTACCAGAAATAAAGACATTGTACGCATGATTCCCCCGTCCAATTCTCATCATTCCAGTACTGCTCTAACAGCTTACATCTCATTAATTCCCATCAAATAAAAATTTTGGGTCGGCAAATTCCCATTAAATCACCCTCAATTGAAGTTTGCTGTGAAACTGCCATAGTTCAATTCTTTCTAGAATAACATATGTCTTGTTCAGGTTATTGGCCGGCGATCAGTTCAAGGCTTGAAACTAAGCACCCAAAACAAAAAAAACACAGCTGTAGTCTGTAAATAGTTGTGAAACACCTTACAACCACAGTTCATCATCTTCCAGTTTTGAAAGTAAATGGGGAATACTTCAATAAGTTCTCATCAAATATATAAAAGTAAATACTGGGATATAATGTGGACAATTATTTTCTTAAATGCTAATTTTTGGGGTAGCTTGTCTGTGGACAAACCTCTATATATATAAATATGAATCAACAGAATATGAAGATATCTTTATAATTCAAGTCATTTGATCCTCCAGTTTCATTTGCAATGTTTAATATATTGTTATCAAATACATCTCCATAAATGCGCATCAACTAGAAGGGGTGTATACTGGAAGTTTATCCACTAGACTTATCAACAAGAATAGTTGTTCCAATCAAACATTGTAATATTGTAATATATTCTAATCATATACAGAAGTCAACATTCATCATATTCCAATAGATGGTCTATTTACATATATATATGATTAGAATAGCACTGGTACTTTGTTTGTAATATTCTTGGATTTTCTTAAGTGGTCCCCTCCAAAAAAAAAACACTATAGATTCCCCAAATGGTGGATTTTCGGGAAACTAAGCCAAATCACCGACTAAACAAATCCAGGTATTGTACAGTTATGGCCATGGCTACCAGTTATAAGTGGTTATTTCTATGGGATTATACATTCTATAAATGGGGTTTTGTTCGTACTTATAACTGATAGCCATGGCCATAACTGTACCCTTTGGTGATCAGGTCCATAGCACTGGAAAATCCTCGGTCCAGGTCCTCCTGGGAGGCCGCCGCCATCGTGGGAGAGGACCGCGACCCGTGGAGCTCTTGATCTTGTCTTCCAGGTCGCGATTGTACCTGGTGGTTTTTGTGCGGGGAAAAAAAAAACAGATAGCAAATGATATATATGGCTAATGATCAATGGTTAATAATGGTTAATAATGGCTAATAATGGTTAATAGATCATCAACCAAATGATATATACATATATATATATACATGGTTAATGGTTAATGCTTAATGATTAATGGTTAATAATGGATATTCATGATAATAAGAATTACCCTCTGGTAAATTAACAGTTTGCGAAATGGAAAATCACCATGTTTAGGTAAATGACCGATCTACATAGCCATTTTCAATAGTTATCTTAAAATTACGAGAGGGTAGCTGCATTTTTTTGCCATGATGATCCTGTGAGATTCAGGTGCCACATTGACTTGATAGCAACCCCCAAAAAAATAAAAGTTCCGGGAAAAATCATCTATACCATCCTACTATAGAAACACTTTTCTAGTTTTTTTTTGGTTTAAGGGCTGCTATCATGGGATTTGATGGAGAGACATAGATCTTGACCTCCCATTGGAGGGGAAAAAATGGCGAAAGGAACAATCATTTAGGCGATTTGTTTGGGGATTTGGACATTGATATCCTGATATCCCAATCTGGGAGTGGGTGAAAATTGGGGTCAATGGTATCCTGAAACTGGGTTGATACTACCTACGCACCAAAACAGGGGCATTTCTGAACAGATGTCTGGCTTCGGGGACTACAAGTGTAATGGTGCTGATTTTGCCACAATATCTAGGCAAAATAACTGTTGGCTGAGCTCGGTGTGAGGTCGCTACCTCCAATTCCTGGAACAAAACACATGCGGACGTGGACTGCAAGTGAATTCTCATGACATGTGAGGGAAAACCAGATTGACTTTGAGAATTACCTACTGTATTGGCTTTTGATGTTTTTCTTGCGGGATCCAGGTGCTTTTTTTCTGGATCACCAACCACCTAAAGAGTTGAGCCACATTTTTTCGATTCCCAATCCAATTTCACCATCATTCCAGTGACCTTGCGACATGAGGTTGTTATCACTTATCCATATATATATATACCTCATTGTGTGCTGTATACCTTTTATATGCCCACGAATCTCTATTATATTATATAGCATCATCTCTGGTGCGGAAAAATCACCCATTGTCCAGATGAGTAGTCAAAGCCCCCTGTTGTGGCTGATTATTATAAGAGGTTACATCCTAATTAATGTTTATTGGAGATGAATTTACAATCCATGAACGGGGAATCCATTCTCAACCAGAAAGGGAGAAGAGAGGGCTTATCCCTTACATTCTCATGAAATATCCCCATCATTATCTCGATTATATCCCCATTGTATACCATCATTGTTGGTTAGATATGATTAGATGCCCCCATAATCACTTGATGATTAAATATGGTTGTATATTATGATATGGTTGAATATAGTTAAATCCCCATTATCCAGATGGATAGTGCACATATTTCACCTGTTTCGCCAAGTTGAAACACCTGAAATCCGGCTCCCGGGGACTCCCTGAGATGCCAAGACACACCACCCAGTCTGGATCTACCTTAGCTCAACAAATGGTTCTTAAAGGTGTTGGAATAGCACCCATTCACTTCGATGATTTTCCAAGGCAAATGGCATTCCATGACAATGTCGAATCAGCAAAAGGTATATAAATCACCATCCCAGTACTAAGCATTCAACAATGTTATGGATGTCTTGTGGATATTCGAATCAAATTCAAGCTCTATCACCAATGGTTGATGTGACATCAGTAGTCATTCGTGATATGAGATTGAATATGTATATCTATGTATATCTTATAATAAGATCATTAGATTGATATTAGAATTGATATTAGATTATTTGATGGCTAAAATTTAGCGAATCGATCATTATTCGGATGGTTTTTTGCACCAAAATTTCCTCTGAAGAACCGACCCATTTTGCCATCGAAGAACTGCCATGGAATACTGCCGAGATAGTATGGATTAATAAAGATTAATAAGATTGATAATAATAACTTACACTAGCATAATAATAGAGTATCTTTATTGATTTAATAAGATTGATAGTATAATATTGTATTTATCATTATAAATCACACATTTTCATTAAATAAATTATTGTCAATCCCTGTCACTATAGGGTTTATGATGGATAACTCAAGTATAAGCCATCCCAGTCCAAATCCATCCAAATCCCAGTTATCCTATAGTTATACTTGATATATACTATCCACCCCAGTCCAAATCCATCGTCATCCCAGTTGCAGCCATCACATCGCCCTGGATGTCAAAGCCTTTGCGACCCGCGCGTCCTGGCCAATGTCAGTGGTGGTCACTCGTGGGTCACGTCACACAACGGGGGTTTTTCACTTGGATTCAACGAACGCAAATGGTGATATTTTATGGTAATATGTTGGTAACATATTCCATACATGGAGCAAATAATGCCCAAATGTTGGTGATATATGCCCAAATGATTATATTTATTGATATTATATATATAATATGCTCCATGTATGGTATATTTACCTACAAAACTGGGTGATTTGGTTCGGGCAAATGTTGGTAAATATGGAATTTACATGGAGCATCTGGGATATATATATAATATACATATGGTCAATCATTAATACGTGATGATTGCTAATGGTTAATAGTGGATATTCATGATATAAAACTTACCCTCTGGTAACAATAGCCATGGAAAATCACCATAGTCAATAGGTAAATAATCTATAAATGGGCCGTGGCTTCCAGTTCTGGTAACGAAAATGATTATATTTATTGATATATGTTGTGTTGTTTTTCATGTTTTAGCCAGGAAAAAAAAGAAAAACCAAGCAGCTAAGCACCCAGTGGGCTAACCAACATTGGATTTAACCAACACATGGGTAGAGATGGGGATAGCACAACACCAACCATGGATACGGACGAGTTTATCCACCAAAAGAGGGATGACCCTATCATATATATATATATGTATGTATAAGGATCGGATATTATATACTGTTAATATATGTATACATGTACATATATATATATATATACATATAATATAGTGAACGGATGAGTACAAACCAACTCATCACCACCGGGCCGTTTCGGCCGTTTTGAAGAGATACCCCCGAGCGATGGCCGGATGGCCACTGGTGGGTACCAGGAGTTGCTGTTCAGAGCTTCGGTTCAAGGCCTCCAAAAACGCTACCCTCTGGCAAACGTTTACAAAAAACGATGGAAAATCACCATTTTCAATAGTTATATTAGTTTACCAGAGGCTAGTTCATAGGTAACTTGATCTAACCTCACATCACCAAATTCTAGATCCATCGTTATCCCATTCTTGTGACCATGTCTGATGTATCTTGGATATAATTTTCCTATCAATATACCAGTTCATGATATTTCCTTGCACACATATCCCATTCTGAATAATTACTATATTTGGTGGTTCACGCCACTTAGTAAGTAGGTTATACCCCTGGTTATAACTGGGCTAAGTAGGGTTAGTTCACTTATAACTGGGGTTATCATCCACTTACTAACTGGGATGAGCCACCAAGTCGTATCCTGTTAAATACACATCTTTAATGGTTAAATCCAACTTTTCACCATGGCACAGGCCTGCAATCTGATGAAACTCTCGCGATCTCCTTTGGCAAAGCCCCAGGTCGGAGATTCGCAACACAGTGGTTTAGTATTTGTTGTAAACAATAACTCAAGTATAACTATAGGGTTTATGATGGTTTTGAGATGTTCTAAACATGTTAATTACAACTATAGCTTTCTGGGAATTTACAAACCAACTTTATTTAAAAAAAACAAAAACAACTGCGGGGCAGTACCTTGTGATTTCAGCCTATTCCATCACCAGTCAAAAAGTGGGAATACAACTTCTCAGTGATGGAAACAACATCAACATATGATACCACCGAGAAAATACATGTTGATACATGGTCTGTTAGGAATTGGATACTTACTTCAAGAGTACTTGATCAGTTGGACTTCTCACCAATACCAGTGATTCCCAGTGATTCACCTGGAAAATTGTCCCAATAAGGGCCTGGCCATGCGACCATTCTGTAAGACAATGCTGATTTCTCTCCGACTTGGACAATACCGACAGAATAAACAGATACCCTTGACGCGTGGCCAAGATTCCTAGTAAATCCTCAGATATTCTTGCCTTAGCAAATCCAGCACATTCCAGCACATATCACTCATTTTACATCAGTTTACCTTATTTTACAGGGAATTTACCATACAAGTGTTATCCCACTTCTTCCACGAGTCTTCTCGGCCTATTCCCGGTAAAATCCCGAACGGTTCAGCCAAGACTCATGATGCGCGTCCCTTCGCCTTGGCATTCATCCCGTGAAATGCTTCCACATACTGCCGATGAATGGTTGAATGGTTGAGAAATCCTGCACCAGTTATACAAGTTGATAGATGGGCAAAATCTCATTATAACCCATCATTGACACTGTTTCAATATATTCACCAATGGGAAATGCCTCCCCATTTCTTGACGTTGAAGAAAAACTATGTTCCAACAAGAGTATCTAAATCAAAGAATCTGCATCTTAGCAGCCTTAGCATTGCGGATGTTCATCTTTTACAATGGTTTTAGCATGGTTTTAGCATAGTTTTAGGATCCAATCCATAGGTTCCATGACGGTTCCATGACGGTTCCATGACATCCCACGGCCCGCGTTGCGTTGCGCCGCGGCACCATCGAACTTGCAGAGCCGCGTGAAGAGAACGCTGCGGATGGGCACGTTGATGCCCACACCCAGGGTGTCAGTGCCACAGACCAAAGCCAACAATGACTCCTGGAAGGATCTGGAACTGTGGTAAGGCTATTGTTGGCTACAATATATATATATATTATACATAGATCTATGTATCTATCTATCTATCTAATCTAATCTAATCTAATCTAATCTAATCTATCTATCTATCTATCTAATATATGTAGTATATTCTGATGGTTAATAGATGTGAATACTGTTTTACAATGGTAATGCTGCCCTCCGTAATGTTTGTTCCAACTGCGGGCACCACCTTGTGGAGATCCGGAACACATCTTGCAGCTGCTGAAGCAAAAACTTGGGATCTCCAACGTGGGAAACGTTGCAAGAAAGCGGAATTCCTCATCCCAGTTAAAACATGTTAAACACATCCAGTCGCAGTCGATTACCCAACAGGAAATTTACGGTCGGATTGGGTGCAAGTCGATGAGATTCAGTCCGACATGGTCATCCAGTCGATCCAGTCCATCCATGAAAAATCCAGCCTGTAAGTTTTTTTTCATGATCAACCCACTGGAAGATTGGAAACATCCACTGGAAGATCTCAGTGCTTGAATAAGTGACAAAACTCTAAGAAAAAGTGGCATTTTGTCAGATCAAAAAAATGATCAATCCACGGTTTATTTGCTGATCAAATCCATCTAGTTGCTGTTGATCAATACATTATAATGGATCCAAAATCATAATCCACTGAATTATGATTGGATTGAAACCACACACAAAATTATTGACATACCCTCTGGTTATTTCATGTAGCGGACTGAAACATCACATTTGTTAATTAGGTAAATCATCACTTTGATCATCGATTTAATCTATTTCTATAGGCCATCTATACCATAGTTACTGTAACTAACCAGGTTCTACTATCTTCAAATTCAATGCATTTTCATCAGCTTCCTTCCATTTTCCCCAGTCAAATACCCAACCTGGTAAACTAACACAGCTATTGAAAATGGTCATAGAAAGTTCCTTGATTTCCATGAAACATACGGTGGATCGTGTACCAGTTCGGTAACCATCCCTGGCTCCTTAGCTCCATATGGCCTGGCCAGAAATCCCTCATATTTAACTGTGATTTCTTACTCAACAAAAAAAAAAACACTACATATCAGATGGTATTACTACAAGATTTACCATCTCACATTTATTCCATTTATTCCCCATATTTAAACACCAGAGAGAAACACAATTTCTGCAACCTCTGCGGTGTCCTGGGTGAGTTGTTCCACGAGGCGCCGATAGCAGGGTAATAAGCCAGCATGATGGACACCAACACCTGGCAAATGCGACGGATCTATACAGATCTCACCTTCCCCGGCAGATGGTTGAGGGAAAATTATGGGAAAATTATGGGGAATACTATGGAAATACATGTTTTTGTTGCCATTGATTGTGCTTTCCATCGATTGTTGTTTTTTGAATACTCACTCTGAAATCTACGAACCATGATGAAGCACTTTTGAAGCATTGTGAAGCATTCTTGACCGCCTCACTTTGGTGATCCAATCACCTCATCCGGGTAGCAATTCACCAAGCCAGAGTTTGTTTGGGGACTACCTGTTACCTCCACATTTCTAGTGACGTCCTGGGGACCTCGTTCCATGGGGTGTTCCCACTTCTCCATCCAATCTGGCTGGCGAATCTGGTTATTTAACATAGCGAACTGGATCCCTGAAATCAATGTAGGTTTATAGCTGGGAAAATCATCTGTGGGTCATGGCTTCCATAGCATTCCAGCTCGCTATGTCAAATAACCAGAGGGTATATCTAATTATATCTAGTTATTTATAATTATATTTAGATCATCAATTATATTTGTATGTATTTTCCCAGGGGAAAAAACTACATCACCAGATGGGGATGATATATATATATATACATGTATATATTGTTGGTCAAATGTCAGCAATCGGTATTCATAATAACTAAATATAACTAATCATAGTACTACTAGATATAGTGTCTAAAGAACTAGTGGTATTTTGTTTTATTTCGGAAGCAAAATCCTATATACTAATAGTAAGACTAGTAGTAATATGGTTAAACAAACCATCATCAATCATTGACAATCAGTACTGGTATTGTTTCCAGACATCAATTATTTGTTGGTTATTCGATCCATTAAATGCCCATACCGTTGCTGAAAAATCCCACCATGAATCCCAGTTTTTTGTTCATTAATAACATCCATTCCAACATCAGTATGTGTTCAATCATTACCGTAACAATGCTAGTTTATTGAACATTCAATGGATCATTCTTATGGCATGTTTATTTACATTAACCATTCAAACTCAATCATTATGTCCATCTAAGTATTTATAGAATCCCTTACTATCATCTACTATCCATATCAGTATATACATGTCATATCCCTCGTATCCATGGTAGCATTCTATCAACATCTGGAGATTATATCATCTAAATATCTGAAAGATATACATATTATATATATATATATCTTTGTCTGAATAATGTTTATGCAAAAGCGTGTCATTCATGATATTTGCATAGTTATGATTGATATATTCAGTAGATCCAATAGATCCAATGATTCATGTGATCCAATAGAGAACCATGATTATGTCCAATATATGGAGGTGTCCTAAAATATGGGTACCCCGAACCATTGCTTTCCCGCTTATAACGCATTTTGGATGATTTTGGGCTATGGAAACCTCCATATCCAGCATCCAATATTTACATATATTTATATATTACATTTATATTTGTTTATTTACAATACATAGATTTATTCTCAATATCTATATCTATACATCTATATGTCTATATCAATATATCCCTCATAAAATAGATTTTACATCATGGAATAATATTAAATATCTATATATAATCATATGTGATAAATATTGATTATTGATGTATATCCATGATATCTCCAATCCATGTGAAGACTTAAACACCAGTGCATAGCAGATCCTGGCAAACAACAAATGGATATCAAACATGCAATCAACATATTACTATCATATTACTATATAATATCATTATATAATATTACTATGGTTACTAAATAATGCTTATAGACACTATTATAATGGATATTATTATATATAGTGTCAATAGCCATTATAATCATAAACAAACACCAATATAATTATGGATAATGGTATAATAATGGATAATTATGGATTATTATTATGGTTACATCATCTATTACTATACATAATGGATAATCAATATATACCAGGGTCTCCGGGATATCCAGCGTTCGTCGCCTCGCAGCAGCAGTTCCTTCAGCTCCGCGCCGAAGGGCGAGGCAAAGCTCTGCTGCTCCACGCGGCGCTGCAGCTCCGCCGGGGACCGTAAGGCTGGGTGCCTCGGGGGACGGGAAAGTGGGAAGGTTCCGGGGAAGGTTTTCCGGGGAAAAATGGTGAAAACACCATAAAACACCTGGGAATTCCTGGGAAAAAATATGGAAAAATTGTGTTTTTGATTGGGTGATCTTGGATTATGTGGATTTCACCTGCAAAATTGGTGGATTGCCACAAACATGGCAGAATCAAACAAGGAAAAACAGGAGATTCTGTGGAAAAGGCTGGACCACTGGACCATCAATTTCCTTGTAAATTCTCACCCCAATAATGGACAAGAATATGACCAATCACGTGATGTTCACCACACATCAGGTTCTTAGGTGGTCTGATTTGTGTTGCTCAGGACAGCCACCTTAAATCCAGCTGATTTTACAGCTGATTTATCATCATTTTCCAGCTGAACCAGCTGAAGGGATCCACAATATTAACCCATCCTCAAATTCTAGTTTCTTATATTCTATAACTCCTTCTTGCGGTTATTTTACCATGGCGTTTAAATGGTTTTCATGGCACTGTGGATCCTCATTACCCCATGTCTGGAACTCCTCCAAGCCCACCGCTACGCCCAGTCGCAGGACCGGCTTCCCCTCTGCGTCCAACGCTTCAGCCATCAACTTCGCAGTTTCCAAGGCCTGCGACGCGACTTGCGGAGAACAATTGATGGGAGGCAAATGTTGAATGGATGGTTAAAATAATATGTGATCTGAGACGTGATCCGGAGAGAGGTCTGCAGAGTTGGTTTCGACCAGCGAAACCCGAAACCCGAAACCCGAAACCCGAAACCGACTGTTAAAGTTGGTTTCGAACTGCGAAACCCGAAACCCGAAACCCGAAACCGACTCTGAAGACTTAACTTCCCCAGGACCGACCGAAACCCGAAACCCGAAACCCGAAACCCGAAACCGAACTTATATACCTTCCCCAGGACCCGAAACCCGAAACCCAAAACCCGAAACCGACTCTGAAGACTTAACTTCCCCAGACCGACCGAAACCCGAAACCCGAAACCCGAAACCCGAAACCCGAAACCGACTGTTAAAGTTGGTTTCGAACTGCGAAACCCGAAACCCGAAGCCCGAAACCGACTCTGAAGACTTAACTTCCCCAGGACCGATCGCTAACCTAATCTAATCTAATCTACCTAATCTAATCCAATTCTAATCTAATCTAATCTAATCTACCTAATCTAATCTATTTCTAATCTTATCTATCTAATCTAATCTAATCTAATTTAATCTACCTAATCTAATCTAATTCTAATCTAGTTTAACCTATCTAATCTTATCTACTCTACCTAATCGAATCTAATTTTAATCTAATCTAATCTACCTAACCTAATCTAATCTACCTAATCTAACCTAATCTATCTATCTAAGTAATCTAATTCTAATCTAATCTTATCCACCTAATCAAATCAGATTCTAATCTAACCAAAACTAATCTAATCTAATCAATCTAATCTAATCTATCTAATCTAATCTAATCTACCTATTCTATAAAAATTCTTATCAATCTAATCTAATCTACCTAGTCTAATCTAATCTAATCTAACCTAATCTACTTCTTCTAATCTTATATTTCTAATCGAACCTAATCTAATCTAATGATATCATATCATATCATATCATATCATATCTATCCAACTAATCTAATCTAACCTAATCTAATCTATCTAGATAACCTAATCTAATTTAATCTACCTAAACTAATCTAATCTAATCAAATATAATTCTAATCTCATCTCATCTATATAGTCTAACCTAATCTAATCTACCTAACCTACTCTAATTCTAATCTAGTTTAATCTATCTAATCTAATCTAATCTACCTAATCTAATCTAATCTAATCTACCTAATCTAATCTGATCTACTCTACCTAATCTAATCTAATCTAATCCAATTCTAATCTAATCTATTCTACCTAATCTAATCTGATCTACTCTACCTAATCTAATCTGATCTACTCTACCTAATCTAATCTAATCTAATCTAATCTAATCCACTCAGTGACAGCTAGTTTCCCCCAAACCGTTGCCGTTTTTCCTCTCTGACCTTTTCAGGCGCTTGTCACTCACCGCTCTTGTTTTTGACGACTGCATGGAGAACGACACTTGGGTGATGTGAGATCGGCATCGTACTGGTGAATCTAAAGGTGGTTTCGACCTACGAAACCCGAAACCCGAAACCCGAAACGGACGGCTAAAGTTAGCTTCAATCGACGAAACCCGAAACCCGAAACCCGAATCCCGAAACGGACAGCGAAAGTTGGTTTCAGGCTACGAAACCCGAAACCCGAAACCCGAAACCGAAACCCGAAACCCGAAACCGACAGCAAAAGTGGGTTTCAATCGACGAAACCCGAAACCCGAAACCCGAATCCCGAAACCGACAGCGAAAGTTGGTTTCAAGCGACGAAACCCGAAACCCGAAACCCGAAATCGACAGCGAAAGTGGGTTTCAATCGACGAAACCCGAAACCCGAAACCCGAAATCCGAAACCGACAGCGAAAGTGGGTTTCAATCGACGAAACCCGAAACCCGAAACCCGAAACCGACAGCAAAAGTGGGTTTCAATCGACGAAACCCGAAACCCGAAACCCGAAACCGACAGCGAAAGTGGGTTTCAATCGACGAAACCCGAAACCCGAAACCGACAGCGAAAGTGGGTTTCAATCGACGAAACCCGAAACCCGAAACCCGAAAACGACAGCGAAAGTGGGTTTCAATCGACGAAACCCGAAACCCGAAACCCGAAACCGACTCGAATCCGACTTTTGGGTGGCTCTCCGGATCGGAACTCTGTGATCTGGTAATAAAAATATAACAAAAAAAACCTAATAATCATATGATATGTAATTATATATATAATTATATATGTGGATATGGATATGTATATATATATATTGAAATATATATATATATAAATATATTGAAATATATATATTGAAATATATTTATATATTTATGTGTGTACATTTAAATATATTCATGGATATATATAAATATATATATATTATACACACGCAATATATGTATATACTATAACTATACTCATACAGTAATACCTAGTTGTATGCACCATGCAGGCACATACTCTTCACAATGTATGTGCCTGATCTATTTTACATGGACTTGTAAACTCTGGATGTCAGAACGCTATTTATTGAGTCACGTGTTTGGACACAACTTTCAGATTCAACCTTTTCCGCGTTCATATAGTCCCTACAACCTTGAAAGTTGAAGCATGCGATATGTAGGTTCTGCTGCAAGGGTCCAATCAACGTATGGTCTCTATACCAACAATTATGGTCTCTATACCAACAATATACCAACAATTATACCATCATCTGGGCAAATTATAATACTTCACTAATTTGAAATGTTGGGCCATGAATGGGGATGATTCACCTCTAAAAACCATGATTTCAGGGTTCGGTCGCGACGTGAGGTCGCTATAATTTGCCCAGAATCATGTCATGCCTAAATTGACTCAGTCATGACACAGGTGAATCTGCCACATTGGAATTCTGCTACCCTCCCCTGTCCTCCAACATGGTTGGCTGAGAAATCTCCAAACCAAATTGGCATTCAAACTGGCAGATTATCTATAAATTTAAATGGAAAAAACATCTATAAATGGAGGTTTTGAAGGTCAAATCATCTATAAGTGAAGGTTTATAGCTTGGAACATCATTGAACTAAATGGGATATTTTCCAGCTAGCCATGTTTGATTACCAAAGGGTATAGATGCTATCTTTGAAAACGCAATCCAAACATATCCAAACAAAACAATGGGAGTCTCTGAAAATGGGGTATACCATGGTGTGCCCCGAAAAGGCAATTTTAATAGAGAAAATGATGATTGACCAGATTTTAAGGTACCCAGTTTTCAAACAACATCAATCCTTCAGCAGACTTGGAAGTCTTTAATTCACTCCCAACCTCCAGCAGAGCAGAGTTCAAAACTCGAAAATGTCATCCCTTTACAAAGTGGTTTGTCAATATTCCCGGAATGTGTCGTGATAATTCCCGAGCAAAATCAAAGCTATGGCTTGGAAACAAGCCCCCGAGACCGGGTGCTAAGCGCCCAATGAATGGTTCCAGAGTAGGCGGCGCGCGAACTCCATCCACTGGTTCCGCCTAGATCTCTGTCGATTCAAGTCCTGGCTCGCATTGCTTACTTCGAACGAGCTTCAACATCTCATCAGCTTCGAGCAGGGCAGCGACAGCATATCTGCTGTACCTTCAGCAAGCTCGGCATCCAAATCAATCCTTCTCCAAGAGAGAACCACATATAATTAACCCCATAGTTATGGCCATGGCTATCAGTTATAAGTACTAACAAATATATAACCCCATAGAAATAGAATGGCTCTCATCCCATAGAAATAACTAACCACTTCTAACTGGTAGCCATGGCCATAACTGCATAGAATAATTCAACCTCCAACCATCATATATCAATTCTATGTCTATTTAATAGGTGGTTGAATTCATGTTGATTCCCATCTAGTTTTGATGGCGTCCACCAGGAACCTGGTTTTTCCTGCTCCCCATTGTGAATGGTAAATCCAAAAAATGTAAATGGCAGCATACTTTTTGATATATCACCATATTGATTAATATGATTATACATATTGTATATGTTGTTCCCAATATTCATCCAGGTATTCCCATTTCTGATGCTTCATACCTTAGGACCACATGGAGCTTATCGCTTTTGATGGAGCCGCCGTCACGTCAGGCCTCTCGCTGTGAAAAATGGACCTGAGAAGGTCAACGCAGTCGAGGCTATCCAGGAATCAATAAATCATATTTGGGTTCATGTTTCTGGGTAAATGCCATAATATTTCACAAATCTGAAATAAGGCTAATATTGGGATGATTCCCCTTGTTTGACCTGATATATATTATTGTTATAATATGTATATATATATATGTATATGGGTAAATTATAACGACCTCACTGCGAACCAAAATTTAATCCAATTCAACCAGTTGGGGATGATTTCCCTATTAATCAATTCTAGTTCAATTTAAATATTATTAAGCAATCATATTTCTAGGTAAATTACAATTTTTCACAAACCTTAATCTTGCGGCCATGAATGGTGATGATTTCCCTATTGTTTCCCCTACGAACAATCATTCCAGTGAGGGAGAACAGTGAGGTCGTTATGATTTACCCAACTGTTTGGTTGATATGTGCACTATTTGCTTCATATCATGAAAAATATGCTGAAAAAATGTGTACTTTGATGTCAGTGTGAATCAGATTCAAACAAACAGGATAAACACAAAACACACATATATACATGTATATTTAAAACATATATATATATACTGAATCAGTGCGTGTAATATCTGTATATGTTTCCATATCATACCCTTGCTCATCCGTGGTCATTCTTAGTATCTTAAATCGATGCAATTGTTGTGGGACGTGATACTGAATCACATCCCCACAGACTAATTGATGTGTGTTCCAGATTTATTTTTGACCCAGATAATCATCAACCAAATCATTTGTAACTAGTACCTAGGTCATTTCCCATTGCTTGGTATATCACAATTCATAACTTGAAGACTAAACTTGAACTAATCTTGGAACTGACGAAACTTTTTTGGACACTACAGTGATCTTTCGTTAGTATGGTTACTGTAAACTGGTTGAACCACTTCTTTTGTAGCTTTAGCCACTGGTTACTAAGTTCTTACAGTATTCCTATTATTGCTTATGATACCCCGCAATACATCACTTAATTAGCATCGTTCCCTGATTCAACCAAACACTACTGTATCATACGGTTGGCTCCCCCAATGTGGAATGTGGATATCCCCAGCTTCTTAGCTCCCTAACCACTGACGAACAATCAACAGAGGGTATAGGCTGTGCATGGCTCAGTTGGCTCCCCACATTGCATCCATCACGCCAAGCTGCGACATAAACCGGCGCGCGTTTTGACGAGATCAGCTCAGCGATGCTGTCGGCTACTGACTTCCTGGGAGATGGCTCAACGTGAAGTCTGTTGGTAATTTACCAACATACTGGTATGGCGATTGACAGTTGATTCTGAGTTGCTAAGCTGGAATCGTTGGGAAATCGAAGTGTTATACTTGCAAAGAGTCGAGGGCCATTCCACAAAATTGTTGTTGAATCTGTTACAGTTACGTAGATCTGAAACAGTTTTTTTTACGTGCTTGTTATAAACTGTAGTTGTTTGTACATCACTATAATCCATACATGTTAATATATTGTGTATACATACATAATACGTGAAACATCGTGAAACCTTTTTTACACGAACACTTGGACCTTGTCAGAGGTATGAAGCAAGAAAGGAGAAATTCTGATCATCAAAAATGTACGGGGATAATTTGCCAAGAGTCAGAGGTACTTCAAGTTGATCTGCTTGGTGGTTGAACCCCGCAGGTAGTAGGGATGATGTGCCCATGTTTGTTGCTTTGACAGACTTTGACACCTTTAATTTTTGCAGAGCTGTATGGAAACTCACGGGGAACATCTATCTTCATGTTTGATTTTGATGATTTCGGGAAATTACCACGAATTGGGAATCTTCACAATACATCCTCAAAGGACTGTCTGGATGCTTCGAAGCCCCAACAAAACTATGAAGCGGAACTATGTGCATCACCAAGCGATGTGACAGTATCTCAAATGGCAGTGTAGTGGGCACAGCACAACCCAAACCATAGCAATAGTGCTGAGGAACTAGAGCCATAAGAATGCTATATTAATAAGCCCAAAGAATATCCCCAACAGCAAGAAAGCAGCGTCCGTAAATCTCAAACAGTAATTCCATATAAGCGTGGTAGTTTTTGTTTCATGACCAAGCAATGCAGTGCATTTTTGCGCCGTCCTGCCCGCCGGCCTCCCTTACTACTACTACTACTACTACTACTTACCTACTACTACTACTTACCTACTACTACTACTTACCTACTACTTACCTACTACTTACCTACTACTTACCTACTACTACTACTTACCTACTACTTACCTACTACTTACCTACTACTTACCTACTACTTACCTACTACTTACCTACTACTTACCTACTACTTACCTACTACTTACCTACTACTTACCTACTACTTACCTACTACTTACCTACTACTTACCTACTACTACTACTACTACTACTACTACTACTACTGCTACTTACCTACTACTACTACTACTTACCTACTACTACTACTTACCTACTACTACTACTTACCTACTACTACTTACCTACTACTACTACTACTACTACTTACCTACTACTACTACTTACCTACTACTACTAGTTACCTACTACTACTACTTACCTACTACTACTACTTACCTACTACTACTACTTACCTACTACTACTACTTACCTACTACTACTACTTACCTACTACTACTTACCTACTACTACTTACCTACTACTACTTACCTACTACTACTACTTACCTACTACTACTACTTACCTACTACTACTACTTACCTACTACTACTACTTACCTACTACTACTACTTACCTACTACTTACCTACTACTACTTACCTACTACTACTACTTACCTACTACTACTACTTACCTACTACTACTACTTACCTACTACTACTACTTACCTACTACTACTACTTACCTACTACTACTACTACTACTACTACTACTACTACTACTACTACTTACACTACTACTTACCTACTACTACTACTACTTACCTACTACTACTACTACTTACCTACTACTACTACTAACCTACTACTACTACTACTACTTACCTACTACTACTACTACTACTACTACTACTTACCTACTACTACTACTACTACTACTACTACTTACCTACTACTACTTACCTACTACTACTACTACTTACCTACTACTACTTACCTACTACTACTTACTTACCTACTACTACTTACCTACTACTACTACTACTACTACTACTACTACTACTACTACTACTACTACTACTTACACTACTACTTACCTACTACTACTACTACTACTACTACTACTACTACTACTACTACTACTACTACTACTACTACTACTTACCTACTACTACTACTTCTTACCTACTACTACTACTTACCTACTACTACTACTTACCTACTACTACTACTACTTACCTACTACTACTACTACTTACCTACTACTACTACTACTACTACTACTACTACTACTACTACTTACCTACTACTACTTACCTACTACTACTACTACTTACCTACTACTACTACTACTACTACTACTACTACTACTACTACTTACCTACTACTACTACTTACCTACTACTACTACTTACCTACTACTACTACTACTACTACTACTACTACTACTACTTACCTACTACTACTACTTACCTACTACTACTACTTACCTACTACTACTACTTACCTACTACTACTACTTACCTACTACTACTTACCTACTACTACTTACCTACTACTACTTACCTACTACTACTTACCTACTACTACTTACCTACTACTACTTACCTACTACTACTTACCTACTACTACTTACCTACTACTACTTACCTACTACCTACTACCTACTACTACCTACTACCTACACTACTACTACCTACTACTACCCACTACTACCTACTACTACCTACTTCTACCTACTACTACCTACTACTACCTACTACTACCTACTTGCTGAGGAACTAGAGCCATAAGAATGCTATATTAAAAAAGTCAGTCATATACAGGTTGGGGGTTGAATAACACATGACCGACTTGAGCACATGAACAGTGGAGTGTCTTGCTATGTCTCGGTCATACTTAGGCTGTATACGCCACTTAGCGTGCAGGTTTTAGATTGTGAGGGGACTTATCATAGCTACCCATCTCTGTGACATAGCTATCAAAACAGGCTCAAAGCCTGATGAGCAAAGCGTCTGGCTGTAGGAAAAATGCAACGGCACCGGTCGTTGCTTTGAAGAAACCACTCGCAGTGGTCTTCCAGAGCGCTCCTGGTGTTCAACAGCTACACTCTCAAGGGCTATGTTTACTGTAAAGGGTCAGCAAGTGATAGACACATGATATTGTAAGGGCACGGCTCCCCATCTCTCTCTTCACGGGAATTGACATCAAAAGGGATGCTGAAGCCGCACTGTGGGTCCAGTCCCTTTGGGAAGAGGGCCGAAAAAAGTGAAGGATCGTTTTGGTTGTTCCAGTCAAGCTCTACGTACTCAGAAAGGGTAGCTAATTGATGCTAATTGCAGACACAGAATTGCAACTAAATAACTACTAATTGTCATGCTAGAATCACAAGATAGCCCGAAGCAAATCGTTTCAAATTTCAGAAGTTCTCTTAGTTCTCTTTTAGGGTCGATCAACATCGCAACATCCCTGCTGTAGAGAATCCACTTCCCTGCAGTACCCTGCAGCCTCTCCTGCAAGGTTTCATAAAGCTTGGCATTCGCACCCAACGTGCCCGACATCAGCAGAAACTGCGTCTGGCAGCCTGAAAGTTGCTGAACATCATCCACGTGGAACATTGGGGACCTAAAAAATCCGTAGGATCGTTCCAATACAAAACAGAAATAATGTCAACCCTGGATTAATAAGTGGGAAGGTACCCCCCTAATTAATAAACCATAGTTTATTAATCCGGGGTTGGCATTAAACATAACAAGTTTCTTGAGATCATTTCTGAGATCATGTTGGATCATGCTTCTCCTGCACTCAATTTCGAATGTTTTCATGAGCTTTGCCTTGGCGGATCCAAGCCGGTCTTCCAACACACAGATTCCGCGAATTAGTGTATGATGGGGATAACCTACTAAGGTTGGGGTGAAACCTCTATCATTGTTCAATGGGAATTCCAGGATCCTAAAATGGAGGTACGTTAGTACCATATTGTTGGCCATATTTTGTGGGGATATTCCCTGAAATTTAGGCCTGAAAAATAGGCCTTATATATGGTAGGTACCTCCAATTTAGGATCCTGAAATGGCCATTGAACTGTTTTTGTTGTCAAAGGATGTCAAAGAGTAACAATTGCTTTGTTCAAAGATGATATCTTCACTGAATAAACCACTATCTTTTGTCTGGTTCATCGTGTTTTGTTTTCACTCGATCAAATCACACTATGTTTGTTGCTTCAACCGTCAATGTTGACATATGTTTACATAGCATATTGAAGAAAATCATCACATGTTCCATGTACAGTTTGCTCATCTAGCTATAATTTACCATAGTTTACCTACATGCTAAGCCCCAAAAAGATAGACGATCCGCCAAAAATCGCCTGGGCGGCTGAAGCGCCACAAGGGCAGCTCCCAGGCGGCGCCGCGGTCCGGATCGCCGAAGTAGTGGAACTCATCCATGACCACCTGGGCCAGGCAGAGCCAGGCAGGGCTGATGGGCTGGATGAAACCAGTGATTTCCGGAAGGGAGATGAGGTGCAAGTGAAATGGTGATTGATCACGATTTCTTTTGGGTAACAGAAACCGATTCAAATTCCAAATTTATTGTATCTATCACTTTTTTGTGGGGTAACCCTGAATACTCAGAGTTGATCCAAAGTGGACATCATGAACTCGACTAGTGGCGATCCCACTTGCCACATGGGGTTTCTCCAAGATTACTGGAAAAACTGTGTGATTCTGGTGATTCAGTGGTAGACGGAGTGTAGTTCTGCAAAATTGACCATTGCTGAAGTTTATATGCCCCCTGGTTATGACTAACATAGCCATGGAAAATGGCCCATGTATAGATGGTTTACCTGGGTTTACCTATTAAAAAATGTGATTTTCCATGGCTATGTTATATAACTAGAGGTTATAAATAATTATATAATATATAACCCACTTTGACGATCATCCCACTTGTTAAGTGCTTCGCAATCCTACTGATTGACATGTATCCTAATTGGTTGGTTCCATTGGCAACTGACTAGTCCTTCAACCTCGCCACCAGCGTCGGCGCGTTGGCTTCATTGGCTTCGCAGCGCAAGGAGATGCTGGTGAGGACTTCTTGGGTACCTTGGAAGGATAGTAAGCTGCCCAGTTGATCAAGTTGAACCTCGGATATCCCGGTATTTTTCATGGGGATGGCATCATTATATAAATGAATTGAATGCAACCAAGACAACCAGGGATCTGAGATGTTGATTGTGAATTCTTGGATGCTTCAGCATGATTCTGGTGGAGTTGTTCCACAAACCACAAGATGGGTTGGTTTGATGGGTTTACTCTGTGGTAATCAATCATAGCTGACTGGAAAGAACCCAGTCAGTTCAGTGGAAAGATCATTGTGCTCGGTAAAAAGGGAATCACGGGGAACCGAGGAAACTACAGAATCCAAACAAAAGGGTGAGAAATGAAAGGGCAAGGTTTGTGTTTAACTGGTTGGTGGTTTTTCCCTACCCCTCTGAAAAATGATGGAGTGAAAGTCAGTTGGGATGACTATTCCATTCCCAACTGAATGGAAAGTCATAATCCATTCATGTTCCAAACCACCAACCAGTTAAGATTGTTTAAGTCCAAAATTCCTGGACGACTCGTATATTCTCGATCAATGGATTCAATAGGGATTCTCCAGTGTCAGGGTCGATCAGTTACTGGAGAGCTTAAATCGATGACGTCATTTTGATTACAGCATATAAGTCAGTTGAAAGATGTTTGGGTCGTTTTGGCACCACTTACCCTTTGGTAACTTAACATGGCTATGGAAGCCATGGCCCATTTTCGTCCAATGATCTACCGTTTCGAAAAAAACGCGTTTTTCCATGTCACACACCATATCAATTTCCAGATTGTGAGGGTAACCATTCATGTTCTCATTTGTTTTAATTCATTGTTTTATAATATATAGTCATTTAAATAATGGTAAATCCAAAATATAACCATTGATAGGTCGCCATAATATAACATATATATATATACTATAACCACCAATATATATATATATTATTAAATATATATATATAACCCAGCAGAACAAATGGTTCTTAATGTCGTTTCGTGCACCTGCATCGCTGAACAAAAACCTGGAGACTGTCACATTGTTATGGTCACCAGGCGGCAGGCAGGCCAACATCAGTCTGAGGGTTCGATCAAAAAAGGCCAATAAAGAACATCAATACTGGTTGGTGGTTTTAACCATCTTGAAACATACTAGTCAATGGGAAGGATTATCCCATATATGAAATGGAAAATAAAACATGTTTGAAACCACCAACCAGAATAAATAAAAGTGGATGTTGATCTATAAAGAGTCAATAAAGGATCAATGAAGATCGATGAATATCGTGATGTTGATCTATACAAAAATCGATACTTTGTGCTTTATAGTGTTTTATAGTGTTGTGAAAATCCAAAGTAGATACCATCCCCCAACCAACATAGGCCGTGCCAAATAGATGCAAATAGGGGGTTGGAAGACTTTTTTTCCCTCTAACAGCAACACTTATATCACTTATCTATTTTCCGGATTGACTTTGCTGTTTTTTTGGGATGGTACTATGGTACTGAAATGTAATGAATTGTCGCAAGCGAACATAAATCAACCACCACTTTTGATGAAACCCGGAAACCAAACCCGCCATGCCATCCCACATCATCCCTCTGTCGGTCGCCCGGCGGCAGCAGACCAATGGTGCCCCTGTGTTAATGGAGACATCCCCGGTGGCCTTGGTCATTTTGACATTCTGAGAGTCAGAGCCCAAGATAAAGATGATATGTTCACTGGAGATTTAAAGCATCTAAAACCCATAGAAACAAAACATAGGTAAAGCATCGCTATAAACTGTTGGTTGGTGTTTTGTGATTTCTGTTTTACAATGGATATTTAACCATCATACATGTGGATTTAACCATCAAATGTGATGGGGAACATGATAAATGTGTGTAACTGATAATCATTGGCAAACCTAAAATAAGGACATAAGTTGGAAGAGTTACCGCGACTTGAGCCCAGTATACCTCATCCAGAAAAAAAGCATATATGGAAGGATATCAGGAATCACGGGACTTTAACAAATTAATGTCATTGGGTTGCCATCCTTCAAAAAGTAAGCATTGAACACGTGAACTGGTCTGTTGGCAAGAACAAACGCTATGTAACCAGTGAAAGTGGAAGGTTGTCAACCCGATGGAAATATCATCAACATGCAGAATGGGACCTGGTCGTGTTTGAGGAAGAAACCTTCAGATTTTTGGAGCCCTCATGAAGTAAACACGAGAACGTCGTGATGGCGAAGGAAGTTGAAGTCACTGTCAGGCACTGAAAACAAATGGCATATTCACCTGGTAGTAACTATGCGTTACAAGTAACAGTTCTATAATTTCTCCGGCTTTACCATCTTTACCAGTTACTACCAGCTATAAACGAAGTGATGTAACTCGCCAAGTCTTTGGATCAATTTCTACTGGCTGAAACCCATTGCGAATTCATCAGTCCGCCAGTTGGTTTGCCGGTATTCTTGATGGTTAACTCTGTATCAACTATTGCTTAAACAAACCATTTGAAACAGTTAGATCTGGTTTAGATTTGATTGTTGATTAAATAATATATATCACATTTAACACTAGTGAGCTTTGTTCACTATTCCAATATTTGAATGGTCTGATCAACCATTCTAGCTATCTAAATGGTTCCAACCAAGCTCTACTTAAAAAAGGTCTCCCCTGAGCCGTGAAAAAATATCCCTATTCCATCCTATGATACTGGTTGGTTAAAGGCCAACTATGTTTTACTGGTAATTATGGGTTATAATCTCCTCCAATAGATAGTATACCCCTACATTTTGACCAATCAAATACCGTTTGTCCATCATATCCCCTTTGATATTTAAAACCCTAAAAAGCCCTCTTTCAATTTCGATCATAACCTGTATAGCCAAGACTCAAAAAGATAGAAACGTAGAATCCTGTTAAAATAGATAACTTGTATGTTTTTCGCATTAATACTTAGAGAAAACCCCCAAACGCTACCCTCTGGTAATGAAGCGTATATTGCTATGGAAAATCACCATTCTTAAGAGTATATCATCATAAATCACTGGACTAAATTGGCATTTGCGATAGCCATGTTAACTAGCCAGAGGGTACCTAATCACTATTTCCTAATGAACATGGATAATAAACATAGATCTTATTTCTTTAGTGAAAGCACATTACTGTAACACATATCCACCAATCAGAGGGTATCTCCAATGGATTATCATCACGTTCCATCATTTTCCCAATAATATGACCATTTCGAGGCTCATCCTCCATGTTCAAACGCACCCTGCCCGTCGTGTTCAAGCCCAGCGGCCATGCCCACAGCTTGCGCGCCGAAGTGTCGGCAGAGATCGAAGAACTTTTCGCTCGTCAAGGCCTTGCCGATGAATCGATGAGATGATGGGAACGATGGGAGTTGGTAAACTAACACGGCGAACTGGACAATCACGATTTTGAATAGGTAAATCAACGAACTAAATGGCCAATTTCAATAGCAATGTTAAATTACCAGAGGGTAGGGGTTTTGCCAATGAATCATAGATATGAAATGGAGAAATATTGTGATATCATGGCAAAATGGAGGAACATGATGTTTCTTCTTAAACTGACAATTCATAGTCATAGAGATAGATTATATGGACCAACAATTATGGGTGTATGATGAGCACAATATTAATTTTGTTGGATTGCAACCAACCGTCAACAAAGGATTTATCAAGAATGAATGGGGCAATCATGGTTTGAATCTGGTTGCTGGTGTGGAACCCTTAAGAATGCCTTGGGATCTCAGGACAATTTCAGGGTAAGAATGGAGATCCCAAAAGAATTTCCACATTTATTAAAAGGTGAATATATTGCCTATGGAGTAAGATATATGGTATCCCTTGATCCTATTACGCCGTGGGAAGTAATGTCAACCCCGGATTAATAAACCATGGTTTATTAATTAGGGAGTACTCCTCCAATAGTCATTTCATCTGATACTTGTTTATGGTACCCTACAACCGTTTGGGGTTTATTAATCCAGGCTTGACATTATACCTACCCTCTGGTAAACTGACAGTTTGCGAACTGGAAGCCATGGCTCATAGAAATAGATGATTTACCCAAATCATCCATGGTGATTTTCGATAGTTATGCAAACGTTTACTGAAAAGGCGCCGGAAAAGGCGCCGGCTCATCCAAGCAATCTGTCGGCTCCAACAGACCCAAACTACCCTGAATTTAATGGGATTTTAATGGGATTTCCATGGTTAATCATGGTTAATCATGGTTAATCATGGTTAATAATGATCTGCTTGGTGGTGCAATGTGCCCATCTTGAAAAATATGAAAGACTTCGTCAATGGGTTTCGGATGACATCCCATCCTAATGACATGGAAAATAATCCAGTCATGTTTGAAACCACCAACCAGTAATCTGTCGGCATTCAAAGGGCCATGTTTGGATTGAAGATATCGCTGGTGGATGAACATCCCATAGCCATTTCTACCGCCTTGGTGGGTGAGGTGTAGTAGGCCTTTCCTCCTGTGAGTGGGGTGGTAAGCCAAAACAATACCAAAACAGATACAAATGGGGAATATATTTCCAACACTACGAGGGAATGTAAGCAAACTTTGTCGGAGATTTCACAATTCAAAATGGGTGCCCTGGCAAGTGGAATCATCATCCCAAATACGACTTTAAAAAGTAAACAACCATACTTGAAACCACCAAAGGATATGTCTTAGACATTATATACCCGCGATTCACGACCAAATTATCCTTGATTATATACCCATGGCCCATGAAAAATCATGAAAAATCATGAAAAAAACTATTTTAGATCTATATAAATCCGTATATGGCCTATGGCCAACCCCCAGCCCACCCTCCCCAGCTGCGCTGAAATCTGCTCTCCTACCACGCCCAGCGCTTGAAACAACGCTGCCACGGCCACTAGAGACTTGCCACTGCCCGTGGGAGTATCCAGCACCTGGGATGGGGCGGATGCTGGGGGTGAGGTATCACAAAGGATGGTCAAATGGTTGACAACAAAGGGAAGCTTTAACAACAGATGGTCATTATGTGAATTCACATATGTTGATAATGTTGATAGTGTTGATAGTGATATACGAGAACTCAAGTTTATTTGTACAAGTTACATTACAAATATTAAGAAATCAAATATATAAAAGCAAGGGGAAATGATCAACAAAAAACTTGTGGGGTTGATCCTCCTGCGAAGTTAGTTTCACTTTCAGCAAAAAATGAGTGTATGGTGACATTCCAGAAGAATCGTGAACCTTACTACACTACTTTTGCAAGAAACACCTGGGGTGTGTAATATATATATATATATCATACAAAGAATGGCAATATACAGTATATGTGTAACATATCTCGTCTACACATTGCAATTCCTTCTTCGGTCGGTCGACCCGCTACAGTAGCGGGGATCCAAATCTTGGTTGCATACAATTCCATTTTTGCCCACCATGGTTGAGTACTGCCTCCCCTAGTTGTTGTAGTTTTACAATGTTTCACATGTTGATGCTTTTGCTCAGCTAACTCATGGTCCTTCTTCAAGTTTTGGTGCAGAACATCAGCCTCCAACGCAGGATGGTGCCCCAGTTCGTTAGCTAAGTTACTTAAGTTGGTGAAGAGTTCACGCATGTATTTTACTGGTCGGTTGATGATAAGCATAACTATACTTAATGGTTACCCTCTGCCAATGTATCATGCCTATGAACCATCACCATTCTTAATAGGTAAATGATTTATCAATGGGGCATTTTCTATAGCTATGTTGAAATATCAAAGAGTCATACATACATTTCACTGGGGCATCGCCTTGCCCCCTGGGTAGCGCCAGGGCACAACATGGGCCCCTGAAAAGAGTTCCACGATGGCCTCTTCTTGCGCTGGATAAAGCTGGACACCTTACGAAAGGAGAGACGATGATTTTTTTAGATTGGGATTTTCCATGAAATCAATCATCCATTTTGGATACCCCCCATGACTATGGAAATCCCCAAATATAGCCCACTTCCTATGGGATGGCCGGCCCCTCTCTGAACTCTGGCCTCGTTCCTCCAAGGCTTCCATGAAGCGCACCAGCAGTTCGTCCTCCGCGAGGTTGTTCTCGCCCTGCGACCCGCAGCCAGGAACAATGTGTTGGAACCAAGAACACGAACTATCTAAAAGTCACCAAAATAGAGTTGATAAAGTAAACCGCGGTCAAACAACAGGATGGAAATGATCGTTTCAATTTATTCAGGGAAACCAACATCGAGAACCTGAGAACCACTTAACTGTTCGTCATAGTTTTACTGATATCATGTGGAGGTTTCCAAAGTCATGGGGGTCCGCCAGGTCATCCAAGTCAGCCTAGGTGTTTTGTGCCCAATCTTTCCGCACTATGCGTGATTTTTATCAGGGACATATCCATCCCAGCACACAAAAATCCATGATAAGTTCACATGCAAATCATTGGGATCGGCTGTGCGGGCTGAGCCAGTGAAATGAAAATGACATGCTGAACAGCTCGTGATATGAACGGTGATTAATGGATATTAATGGTGATATTACTGGTGATAGAACATGACTTGCTAGTGAAACGAGACTTCAGAGTCTTCAGAGACAACACGATGCACCCATAAAAGGTCTGTGCAACGGTCGCCAAAAAGATCCACGACAACATCGTTCGATGGAAACCGCCTCCGACTGACTCAAAAACAACACAAGCTCCATTCATCCTGAACCTGATAACCGTGAACAGTTGTATTCCAAGGGAAGAAATGGTAACCATACACTTGGAGGTTTCCTAAAATGTGGGTACCCCCAGTTCTCATCCATTTCATCAGAGCATTTTAGTATTAAAACCCAATTTGGGATCCCTCTCTTTAGGAAACCTCCACTTAGAAACTGAGCGAATACATAGTATATAATATAATCTAATTATATAATGATTATATAATACCATTCACCATTATAACATATATTATATAATTGATAAAACATATATAATAATATACCCATGCAATGTCCGTTCTCCAAGTCATCGGTGTTCACACGACCTGAGGTAAGAAGCGCTGAAGCCACGGCTTTGGTTTTTCCAACACCTGAGGGCCGGGAAGCGCTGGATTCATCTGAGGTAGGCTGCAGAAGGTTTCCTACAATAAGGGTTACCTCAAAATGGTATGTTTATAGTGGAAGATCCTTTTGAACATGGATGATTTTGGGGTACCCCCATTTTAGGAAATCTATATTAACTATATATAAATATATATATATATATGATCATATATATAAATCATCTGATCATGTCTGATCATAGTAAATACCCACCTGTTAGGAAGTTCAAAAAGAAGACAGGGTTTCTATGGGAGCTCCTCCAATTCGGTGGCTTCTCTTCCAGGTCGACTCCGATTTCGGTCAACAGGCTCCGGACGGCCACGGGGCCATGGGGCCAACTGCAAAAGATCAGTAACACCAACAGTTGCCTCCACCACCTAATCTGGCTGACTGTTCTATATCTACCCTCTGGTAAACGTTTACAGTTTGCTATTGAACATGGCCATTTAGTTAAAGTTGATTTACCCATTAACATTGGTGATTTTCCATAGCTTTTTGTATGTTTACCAGAGGGTAGATGTTCCCTATGGATCAAAGATGATCCCTTTGTAACAGCGAACTCTGGAAGTATTGGATCGGAACAAATAGCTTCAGTAATCCAACTACTAGAAACTGGGCTATGACTTATGAAGATAACTATAAGTAAACTATTCCATAATCTGTATATCTACCTATCCTAATCCAACTATCTACGATTTTTGGATTCTCCAAGGTCTAAGAATAATCTACTACTAGTAGATTAGTCATATTACATATATCTTAGACCATAGGTTACTTATGGTTACTTAATAGTAATAATAGATTAATATCAAATACATAGACCAATTAACATATCAATCATATCATTTTCATACTACATGTATTTCATATTCGAATAATCTACTACATATTACATATATATAGTATGACATATATAAAATATTACATACATAATACATAATCAATATAATTGTATATAATCACATACAGTAATCAATATAATAATATATATATAACGTTGATAGATTAATCAAAACTCTTAGACTCGACCGAGGCACTTCCAATTTTGGCACCGCGGCATCCGCATCCGCCGTCACGGGCACCGGCGCCCCAGTGGCGGCCAGGTGACCTATCGCCATGTATCCCCAGTGAGGTACAGCCAACGTTTTAAAGATTATCAACATATTTTTAAAAAATCCATCGGAGAACCGCCGTGAACATTATATCTATATAATTATATATATACACACATATGTATGTATATTATATATATAATTATATGGGAACAATATAACTGACCAATGGATTTAATCAGACGAACCCATGAATGTAACTACTTTCCAGCAACATACGCAATTCTCTTACAGGTGCCACTCCACACACTCCGCACTCAACACTGCTTTCTTTCCACAAAGAGTTTGCTTGTTGCGTTTCAACCCATGCTGCGTGGACCCACGGTTTCAAGTTGGGCCTAAACGAAGCCACCAAATCAGCCAAAATGGTAGTTCAATGGACACTGGATCTTCCAAATTGTTTTTCATGTGATGCAATATGGACGCACCCATTTTGGAAACCGGAATTCCAACCTTCACCAAATACAGAAAACCCTATAATTACTGTAGATCGTAAGCCTGAACATGTTTGACCCGGAAACCGCATTTTTTAATGGATTTTTATTTTCTAAAAGATAATTTCCCTTCTACCGACATCCTGGAACTACACATTCAGTAAATGGAAGCAGAGTGGACATACCCAACTCATTTTTGAGTAACTGCGTGCAGTTTCCTCATGAAATCCACCATTTTGAAACAGAGCCCTTAGGCAGAAACTGCACGGCCTCCAATCTTCCGTCTCTGTAGGCGTTTCAGGGTCAGCAGCAAAACCAAAGAACCAGCGACCCGATGCCTGGACGATGTCAACCGACGAGACAAAAAACCCCACAGCTTATTGATATGAGGGGCTACCATTGGCAATCCCAATTATCATGAATTATCATGAATGATCGCTATTTGGGGGACGCCATTGATTAGGCAAGTGGGTGTTTATCAATTGTGGGTTGACACACGCACACACACATTTCATTTCACCCATAGAGATTGGGATACGACCAGTTGTAAACGTCGGGAATGGGTTTTGAAGGAACATGAAGTACAGTAGGTTGTTAGCTGCAACCAAACATAAACAACAACGAAACGAACAAGCAACCATTCAAATTCATTAGCATCCATCACGACTCATCACAAATCGTTTTACCTAATAATGTTGATGGTATAATCCTTGCTACAGTAACCCACCTCTTTGATGCTTCAGCACCTATTGATCCCAATTTTGTTCGACTATGCTCAATTCATAGCCAATGAAACAAATGGTTCCACCGCGTTCATTGCTTAGTTCCTTTGATTCTTGTATGTATATATGTATATCATTGATTAACAATATTATCAAATAATTATATATATAATATATTATCATTATTCTCATCATCATTATTGTTGTTATATACCATTCATATCCATTAATATTGATATTATTCAACCTGAGTATGGTTCAACAACACCCATTTATGATCCCGCTAGTCCTCCAGCCATTCGCCGACTACGCTACGCCGACGCCGATCGCCTGGCTTCCGATACTCGTCGTCGACTCGGCAGCACGGAAGTTGGACACGGACAGGATGGATGGCGTTCCTGGGAGTTCGCGTCGAACGACGACCAAGGTGTAACTCATACAGTTATGGCCATGGCTACCAGTTATAACTGCGGTTATTTCTATGGGATGAGATACATCCTCACTGATGGGGTGACTTGTTAGGACTTATAACTGATAAATGGCAATAACTGTAGAATGCAGTAGAAATATGGATGAAATATGGAAACATGGATGAAATACGGAAGTTGGAAGCTACATAATATACACAATATGGATGGGAATGTGGATGAAATATGGAAATTTCTTCACGAACGTGGCTGGGAAATCCCCAACAAAATGGACGCTTAAATGGAACTATCATGGGAAACTATGGGACAATGATGGGAAAAACACCGTATATAAATGGTGGGTTGTAGCTGCTGGGAAATATGGATGGACATGTGAGTTTGCATATGAGCCATCTGATGACGAAATAGAAGTAAATAGAATAATTAATGACGATATGTGCCTACGCTTTAAGCATCTTTCAGCCACTTCACGCTTCGAACAACAAACGTATATATACTAACAATTTCATACGTATAGGAAACAGTCCCGCAATGTCCCGCACTACCAAACCTTATGAAAACATACAACACCTTCAAAAATCTGATGGTAATCTTTAAAAACCAAAAAAAACTCCTCGAAGTGTTGCTATAGAAATTGGTACCAACATCTTTGGGGAAACTCTGCAGAAAATTGCTAGATGTCAAATGGGTCCTAGGATGACCATACTATTCCTAATCATCCTGGTTCTCCTGATCCTAACAACAATCATCAATAATCTAATCCACTACAGTACCAAACAGACTTTTAAGTTTTTTTTAGGACGATGAGATGAATACGAACTGAATTTACTGATCTTCATGAGCCTATTTGAACAACAACTTACCAAACGGCACAATGTCTCCACCGGTCGTGTCAACATGGGAAACCCAGCATCTTTGGCCGTCCATCCACCGCATCGCAGATGAAAAGGCACCGTCAAGGCCATGGCGTTCGAAAACGAAAAAATCGTTGGACTTTGCTGGGATATCCTTCGCTAATCTAACGTGGCTGGGAAATCCCAAAGAAAATGGAAGTTTTTATGGACATATCATATCATGAGAAACGATGGGAAAATGATGGGAAAATCACTGTAAATGGTGGGTTTATAGCTGGGAACTTATCCCGTTGCCATGTTTTCTTGTGACATACCCATGTGATTGGAAAGATATCCCATCAACTGGGGAATGTTGGGCCTTCTGGTTGAGAACTGGATCTTATTCCACATTACTCCGATGACATATCCAGGTTCTAAACGTACGAACCATTTCAAACTGCCTCATCCACGGGTCCAACAGACTGGTCAGTCCAGGCTAAACGCCAAAGGGTTGGGGTAGTTGAGGCAAGTTGACAGTAGAGTTTCCGCAACAGGTGAGTGGGTGATAAGATACTCTGTACGTTTTTTGGGGGGTTGTACCTGGGGCCACAGCCTGAATTCGAAATTGGATACCCCAAAACTAAGCTGCGAAGACATCACCATGTTAGCCACAAGCCATGATGCAGGATCTGGTTGGTGGTTACAACAAAAACAAAATTGGAAACCTCCAACCGGGATTGTACAATCCTGATACTGGGAACAGGAAAGCAAAACATGGCAATTTCATGGCAATTTCCAAGAGTGCGAACCATCTTCCAAGATAAAGCAAACCAATTTTTTCGGGGTTTCATGATGTTCCATGTTCAGTCTCAAACCTGTGAGGCTGAAAACTTGACGTCTTCCAAGCACTTGAGATTGCCTGCGCACAATTCACAACAGCAAACATGTACCCAAAATCATACATTTTTAACAGGCAATCATCTGCAAATGGGCCATGTTCAATAGCTATGTACATTTCCAGAAGCTAATTCGCATTCATATCCGCATGTTTGTCAGTTGACGGTTGTGAAATATCCCATTAATCTCCATAGAAATCCTGTATATATAGCCACTAATCTACCATTCACCACATCGGACACCATCGCTGCATCCTGGCCATAAAAAGGGCCCCCGGGCCATTGGGCATGGGCGGTGGGACCCAAGAGCCACCACAGGGTGCCTGGCACGCAGCAATGACCAAGAGCTGGAGGCCCAACCTGTCTCTCTCTCTCTATAAATAAATATATATATATATATCAAATCAAACTAATTAACTGACTAACCAACTATCTATCTATTTACCTATATGTTTTTCTTTCTTTCTATCCATCTATCTGTCTATTAGCTGGCTCTCCATCTCTCTCTAGTTATTTGTTTGTATATATATATAATATATATATAATATATATATATACAACCACACACACAATATGGGTATGGCACAAACATGTCAATGGCCCCACAGATGGCTGGTCATTTTGATGGCAGCCAGACTTTAGCAGTACTAATCTGAAACCTACAAGAATCTACAGTTATGGCCCTCAACAGTTTTAAAGGGGTATGGAATGATATATAATGATATATAACCTTAGTATACTTTAGTTATAGGAGTTATATGTCCATTTATAACTCTTAATGGCCATAGGGCCATAAGTGTACCAAACATGGATTTCTATTCCTAGTGATTCACAGTGTTCCCATCACTGCAATCACAGGGTCTTTGGAACAGTAGAGTGTTTGCAACTGGTGATGTGAGCAAGTACCGAAGCTCTTCGTGGGAATACCCCAGTTGCTGGACTTGCCCCAGCTACACATTTCCTCAGCTGGATGATCATGCAGGTGTCAGGCTTCCGACCCTAACGAAAAACCCACATGAAAAATACCAAACACCCTCTGGTAAACTAACATAACTATGGAAAATCACAATTTTTAATGGGAAATTCCACTATGTTAAATTACCAGAGGGTATTGTACATGCCTGCATGTGCTGGTAGACCCCTGGCACAGCTCCAGCGGGGCCCATCGGCTCCTGGGCGAGTCCGGGAATCGATGTTGCTGGTGTTTTTGGATCTCCTGATATCTCACAGTTATGGCCATTTATCAGTTATAAGTACTAACAAAACCCCATTTATAGAATGTATAATCCCATTTATAACCAGTTATAACTGATAAATGGCCATAACTGCAATTATATCTGAATATGTTCCAGAATAAACATCGAATTGCTGATTGATAATCGATCGCATATTCTGGAACATATTCAGAGATAATATGATATCGTTGAATAATCAGAATATTAATCGATCAATTTCTCCTATGAAAAATTCAGCACAATTCTGAAAAAACATGAGATCTGTTTCGTGGAAGATCTTCTTGAAGAAAACCTTGATAAACATCGAAATCATATAGCTGAAGCGTGCTCTGCAAACCTTGCTGGGACATTTATTACCTGGAGAATCCAGCACTCACCATCGTGTTTTTGGTGCAAGGGACCTACCTCAGCAAAAACATGTTTGCCATCTAGGTTCAGTTTGAAATAGATCTAAAATCATTAAAAACAACCATGTAAAATCACTTAAACTCATATAAAACAGATCTAACTCATGTGACATTGCTGGAATTTCCATTGCCATCGAATCGGCCTCCAAAACGCCCCGGACCCTCCGGATGTCAGCCTGCACCTGGCCGGGCCTCGGTGATTTGAACAGATTGATATTTGACACTGCTAAGTGGTCATATCATCAATACCCTCTGGTAAACATACAACAAAACTATGGAAAATCACATTTTTTTTTTATGGGAAAACTCACTATAAATGGTTATTTTCAATAGCTATGTTAGTTTACCAGAGGGTATATCTAAAATTAATTATATATATATATATATTCATCTATCTATCTGGGTGAAATTTAATAATTCACTAACTTGAATATAAAGAAATAAAATAATATATTTGTATCTGGATAAATTATAATAATCTGAGCTACATAAACTGAACCAGTCATTAGTCTGGGTAAATTATAATATTTCACTAACCTGAAATAAGGCTAATATTGGGATGATTCCCCTTATTAACATGATTCCAGTGAGATCGCAGTGAGGTCGTTTTAATTAATAGAATTTATATATATATATATATAACAATAACAATAATATATAACAGGTTAATAAGGGGAATCATTCCAAAAGGGCCTTAATTTCAGGTTGGTGAATTATTATAATTTGAAAATCGATATTGATAATTTATATAAGATTATCACTTATATTGACAATAGCAAGTGGGAAATGTAGATTGTTTCTAGCAATTGTGTTCAAGTAATAAAGTAGGATCATGATAGTATTATGAAAATGGTATCGTTGGATATTAGATATATTATATTAAGATATACCCTCTGGTAATTTAACATAACTACGGAAAATCACCATTTATAGTGAATTTTCCCATGAAAAAACAGTGATTTTCCATAGTTTTTTGTATGTTTACCAGAGGGTATTTAGAGGATCTTAGATAGCAATGTAGCAATCCTAATGGCAAGAACCATAAATGACCATGGATGGGATTGAAGCCGTCTGCCGTTGTGCTACGTTTATGGCACTATGCTTACCACATTATGTCATAGCTATTACGAGCTATTTGACACCATGATATAGCAAAGTTTATAGCGAATAAAAGGTCCAACGATCTACCTCGTTGTACATCAAAGATTTATGGATGATGGAGGATCAAAAACTTCTTCATGGCTTCATGGCCCATTTTTGTTCCATGATGGACGCCATGGTGGACGAAAACTGCGTCCCCAGTCATGGAACTGGGACGTTTCATGGAACATAACTCAGGTGCAGGAACCCAACACACCCGACAAAACTCCTCCAGGACTGGGATGAGTGTTCATTTACTGTTCATTTCATTTCGTGTCATAGTGCGAGATTCTTCAGTAAACTAACACTATATAGATGGAACACATGGAAAACTGGAGAAAAAAAAACACTACCCTCCGGTTTTTTGAAACATGGCTAGCTGGAAAGTTGTCCCCATAAAAATGCTTGATATCTCTTTCCACCAACAAAAACCTCCATGGCTTGGGACAACCACGGCTTTCCATATCTACCCGGCCTGGTAAACATACAAAAAACTATGGACAATCACCATGTGAAAAATAGGTAAATCAACCATTTCTATGGCCATTGTCAATAGCTATCTTGACATAACCAGAGGGTACCTTCGTTCCACACTTCCAGGATGCAGTTGGTTGGTTGAAGGGATCATTTACAGGAAACCCTTCAGAAATTCGGAACCCCCCCAAAAAAAACAATGGTAAAAACCATGGATTTCGCTTCAGAATTTCCCACCAATCCAGTGATCAGTAGCAACTCGCTGGGCCACCCCACTGCTGCAGCTTCTGCAAGTCTTGATGAAACCTCGCCTGAACCTGGACTGGACCGGTGGTAAATCCTGAAATATCCTGAAGTCACTGGGGGGAACTCCCAAAATTGATGGGTTTTCCGGGTTGCTCCTGATTTTCCTAGCTATGTGGTTCGAACTCCTCAGTTCGTATATGGCTCCTTGGCTCCCGATTTAAGATGGAAAATGGACACACGTAGACGTAGCTCCTGAGCTCCCTCCAAACTCCCGACCACATAGATTAAAAATTGCATTTTCAATAGGGCATGCCACATTTCAATCACACCCATATGAAACATGATCGAACTCTCCCACTTGCAATGGGCTATCAAGCACTCTTGGCCATACAATTCCACTTGGTTTGTCTGAAAACAGGGTGCCTCTCAATCTTATTTTCCGTATTGAAATGTCAACTGGTTTCCAGACTGGCACTATCAGATTCTTGATGATCTAATTTTGCATTAATACATATATATATATGTATGTATGTATATATATATATATTATGCAGTCATATCTCCATTAGAATACTGTACCCAACAATACCATTGTAGTTAAATCTCCATGAGTACACCATCTTGCTGTCTTGTATCCCAACAGATTCCTATGATGTTCTTTATGTTTCATTCCATTCATGGGATATATCCCAACATATACCCTCTGGTAAACATACAAAAAACTATGGAAAATCAC